AAAGAAAGAGAAGAGAGACAGAGAGCGAAACAGAGAGCGACAGAGAAAGAGAGATTTTATTTTTAACAGACCTTTATTGTGTCTGTAAAAAACATTTTGCATCCACACTTTGTGCCATTCACGTAAAAAATAAATTCAAGTACTAACATTACATATACTATTTCACTATTTACAAAAACAGAGAGAAAGAGAGAGAGAGAGAAAGTGACATAGAAGAAGTACAGGAAATTTGCTGGTAAATACTAGTGCCACTAACCTTGTCATGAGCTGCAGTTTTGTGTATCCAGGAGGACTCATCTTGACTGAAGGAAATGAAGGATGTGAAGAACTGTAGCTGTGAAGGAGAAAAAAAACACACGCCAAAGTTGTAAAATGTCATAAATTACAATAAATTATTTTAAAAGGTATAATGTTTGCCTATATATTGTCTAAAATTGTTGAAAAAATAGTTTAACAGCTCTCTTTTGGCAGTCTTTTATGATTAGGTTTTTCATTTTTAAATTTTTTTTTTAAATTGATGATATTCTAAATTTTACATACCTCGTCCACTCAAACTAGCAAACTAAACCAGATTTTAAACAGAAATGAATCAGGATCAGTAGTATGGTTTGCATAGATAGATTCAGGTAATTCAATGCAATGGATAGGCTATTCTTTGTAAGAAGATACAACTTCATTTAAAAAAAGAAAAAGTTTAAAACAATATAAACAAACACGACAACTTCCAACCAATAAATTAATGTAACCTAAAATATCTTTAAAATACCACAAAGATCCAGTTACTTACTCAGGGTCTACAAGTAGCTAACAAATTGTATTAAGGCGTGTTTTGGAGGGAACGATCAGACAGTCTACCATTCTGTAATATAAGTCTACAGTTTCGTGTAGCTTGTGTAACAAAGCATTAAAGAAAGGCAAATGGATCAATAATCTTACCTTTTTTTAGCTGTCTTAATTCATTCAGACACGTTTTTGCTACTTGGCTACTTGTCAAATTCTCATAAAAGTAGACTTATGTTTCGAAATCCAATTGCGAATTTCAAAGTCTTGCCTCACATGGGCCGAGACTTCACTGCTGATCAAAGCAAAAATGAAGCTGGATTTACAACTTTTCGAGGAATTAAGAAAAGCGTAAAATTGCACTGAAAAACTAAGCCTCTTGCGCGCTGTCAGGTAGCGCCATATCTGTCATAAAAATGGTGAGGGCGCGCCACCTAGCGTCACATCCGCGCACTTCAGGTTCACTGCTGTTTGGATCAACGAGCACGCTCTTTTCAGACGCACGCACGGGTTGAGGGGGAAAGTACTTTGACGGATTAAAGTTTGAGGAAAAAAGAAAGTGGTGCGTGCCGTGCCTCCCTGTGCGCGCGCCCCACTCCACGTTTGGAGATGTCGGCGCCCTCTCCGCGCTCACGAGGCCGGACGGAGGGAAACGCGCGTTGGTCTCCTGAAAGGAATTCAGCTTAAATGGATAAAAATGTTTAGGTAAGCCTTTAAAATCTTGACTTGTTAGTTGTTAAAGGTCTATGTTGTGTTTTATTTTAATGAAAGTAAAAGGCAACATTTACTGATCTTTACTCACAAGACAGTTTGGACCAACTTAAACTCTCCAAGAAGTGTAGGCTTTTCTGTGAGTTGATAACATAGAAAGTTGTTTACCTTTTCCTATGTTTTTGTGTCACTCTTTATAACTTTTTTAGCAAGGAAGTTGGAAACTATTTGCACTACGATTCAATGAAAATAACCAAGTTTAAAGATGTCCCTGCCAACAATGCCTTATCTGAAGGTCTGAACATTAAATTATGCTATTAATCTCTGTTCTGGGTAATCATGTCATTAAAAAAAAGTAGGCAGATACTTGTACATGCCTATTTACAAAACGTTTTCTTAATAGGCTAGTTATTACTTTATTTTCTGATCTACATAATAATGCTGTTTCCTCATCACAAACATACCTTGAGTTGTGTTTTGCTTCATTCACATATCTTAAACACACAAACTCTGCATATTTAGGTTGAGTTCTCTGTTCCACGTTGTGATGTCATGTTATAATCCAGGAAGATCTCTACTGTGTTTTTAAACTCCATACACCTTCACTAGAATGATTTGAATAATTTCAGTACTGGAATTTCCAATCCCTCCTAAACAAAAGGTAAGAGGTAGCTGTTAACATGAAAACTACCCATTTGTGACATCACAAGGTGGAACAGAGCATGTTGAGTTGTGGAGATGTAGACAGATTAATAATACAGGGTTTCTTAAACACGTGAATGAAACAAAACACAACACCAGGTTTTTGATGAGGGACATTATAACAGATTTAAAGCTCACAAGAGTTAGTTTTGTGTAATATAGGACCTTTAAATTGTTCTGTTGTGTTTGATGAGGTTAATTAAGTAAAGTTTGATGACATATCAGTCAGTCCCTTTACATAATTATAGAATTTAAGAAGAGAAGCATGAGAAAGTGTGATACAGCAAGTGTAACTCAGATTAATCAGATTATAGAATTACTGCATTCCTCCATCAGTGCCACAGTCGGGCCGTGGTACAGTGTTGTGACAGAGCAGCCATGTGTGCTCATTCAGTTATACAAAATTATTCATAGTGGATTTTATTTTCATTTTATTTCATTTTTATTATTTTGTTGTTTCACTTGTGATACTTTAAATACACACAAAAACAATAACAATAGAAAAGGAGCAGAAAGAAGAAAACAAATCTTATAATAGCTGCCCCTTTCTTGTCCATAAAAATACATAATGATAAAGGATGGTCTGAAACACACATTTTTAGACACTGGTTTTATGCAAAGTACAATTTTACATAATTTATTTTTTGATAATTCAATCCATATGATTTCATGCTATCACTGTAAATTGGTTTGTTTTGTTTTTTTTGTTTGGAAGTGATCTTTAAATGATAGTCCAGTGAAAGAACTCTTTTAGTCATTTCATGTGTTTTATACAGTACAAGTAGGGCCTACAGAGTACAGTGATGGACCAGGCTTTATAGATTGTAAAGTAGTAGTACTAGAAATAGTAGTTGAAGTGTTGTAGAAGTAGAAAAAGTAGTAGTAGCCAGCTCCCGCATAGACTTGTCTTAAATGTACACTATAACCTAGGTTCCGCCGCCTGCTTGTGTCCATGGAGATGTTATTGCTTTAACTTGAATATTCCACAGTATGGCATTAATTGTATCTGCCTTCATTGAGACACGCAGTTGATGCTACCTAGTCACTGGTCAGGTTTGTGGAGAAGTGACCCCCCTTTACATTATGAATGAATCTAAAAATGTTTGTTTGTTTGCAATAAAAACATGTATAATTGAATAAATGTGAACAGATAAGTTAAAGCCATACTGCGCATAATTTCAGATAACACAATAACACCTCCATAGAGACAAGCAGGTTATGGGCCACCATAAAAAAAGTTACATGGTACACCTTTCACAACTGTACCTATTACTTGTTTATTTTAAATTTTAGCATACTTTTAATTTCAGTCTTCATCATATACAGATATTGTTCTTTTAGCTATAGCTGAGTATGTGTTTGCACTGCAGTAGGATATGAAGTGAAGTAGGCTCTAAACAATGCAGCACAAACAGTGAAATGGGCAGGGCTGGTTAATGAGTGACTGGACAGGGCACAGGGCACCACCAGATGGGCTACACATGGCAACACTCCTATATGTAAACAAATACTGATTGATTGAGTACTTTTATATTGATTACTTTTTCAGACGTGACAAAACACCTGAATGAAACATGAACAAATTTATGTTGGCATGTTTGAAAGGAGTAAGGAGAAGTTATAAGTTATTTAAAAGGTCTATATTACGCTATTTTCTGATCTATGTTATAATGTTGTTTCCTCATCACAAATATACCTGGAGTTGTCTTTTGTTTCGTTCACACATGTTTAACACACAAACCCTGCATGTTTAGGCTTCTCTCAGTTCTCAGTTCTTCTCCCAAACTGAAAACACTTTATGATGTCATGTGGTAATACAGGAAGTGCTCCACTGTGTTTTTATACTCCATACACCTTCACTAGAATCATTTGGATAATTTCAGCCCTGAATTTGCCAGTCATACTGAACAAAAGGTTAAAGGTAGCTGTTAACTTGAAAACTACCGCTTCATGACTTCATCACAAGGTAAAACAGAGCATTTTGATCTTTACATGTGTGAATGAAGCAAAACAACTCCAGATATGTTTTTGAGGAGGTAACAGCATGGCTCAAAACTCAAGAGTCAATTTTATTCACCTTTAATAATAAAACATGAAAAAACAATAAAAAAAATATATAATGGAGAAAAAAAACTAAGGAGTGTCAGCGGAGTAAGAAAAAGTTTTAAGTTATTTTAATCTGCCGAAGTTCATTCTCTCCATCTACTGTTCATGGCACTAATGGCAGAAGGTAGAGTTGCATTAATGGAGAATGACTTTGTCTGCAGAGGGCAGGTTATCTTTGGTGGATGTGTCATGCGTATCTAATGACATAGGCAGACTGACAATGAGAACATATTAAAGGTGCACTGTGGACAATTTCCGGTGATAGATCGACTACACTGTCTTGTCTCCACAGCGATGTTATTACTTTTGTGTTTAATATTCCAAAATATGGCATTAAACTAAGGTGACCAGTTTATAGATCAGTAAAATATTTTTCCAGTAATAAAAACAGCTGTAACTCATTAAATGCAAGATAGGGCAGTTTAATGTCACTCTGTGGAACTTTCCAGGCAAAGACATAACTTTTCCATGAAGTCACGCAAGCAATGACCCCTCCAGAAAAGTGACATTGTGCATCTTTATCTGTTTGACTGTTTATTGTGCTGTATGACTCATATAACTACAATTTCAACATGTTTTCTGAATGATAATAATATCTTGTGCCTTGTATTTGATGACCCAATCAAATCTTCAATCTGTCTGCCCTCTCCAGATGAGTGCTTCCTGTTAAATCTGTTGCTACCGTGATTGGGGCCATTACCATGGAGACGGTGGTGATTGTGGCGATCAGCATCCTGGCGGCCATTTTCCTGGCCTCGTTCGTGGCGCTGGTTGTTGTCTGCAAACACCGCTACTGCCACCCTCATGACCTGCTGCATCAGTTCGACTCCAAGTCAGTGACCAAAGAGAAATCTATAACTAAAAATAAATCAAAACCCACAATTTATTTTAAGGTTAAAGTTTCAAAACATTAAGTGGTAAGTGTTTAGTTTTGCCATAACTGCCCTGGGATAGAGTGGTAGATGAGAGGCTGCCAATGTGTCATCTGCCCTTTGAACTACCACCATCCTCCCACTCACTCACTCCCACACCACAGCCAAATATCCATCCACAGACAAGGTGGGCGACTGCCTTCCCCAAGGAAATTCAACCACTGATCTTTAGGTTGTTGGCTAATACCACTGAGCTACCACTGAATCACTAGACAGTATGGAAGGCAATGTAACTGTCACTGTCACTGTACCTTTGGGCAAGACATGTTTGCAACAAACAAGCAATTTACAAAATGAAACATTTAAACAACAATTCTGAAAGCCTGCTGGAGTATGTTATCCCAGTGTTTGGGCGGGTTGTCCCGGATACACAATATTTACTCCTGACACAATACACAAGAGGCAGAGTAGTGGAGTGATACTACCTGAACTAGACCAGGGCTAAACGTGGACTAAACCAGAACTAGACCAGGGCTAAACATGGACTAAACCAGAACTAGACCAGGGCTAAACAAGGACTAAAGAAGGACTAAACAAGGACTAGACCAGGATTAAACCAGGGCTAAACAAGGACTAAACCAGAACTAGACCAGGGCTGAAGAAGGACTAAACAAGGACTAGACCAGAACTAGGCAAGGCAAGGCAAGTTTATTTGTATAGCACAATTCGTACACAAAGTAATTCAAAGTGCTTTACAGAATAAGAAATACATTAAAATCATAATAAAAACAAATCAAAACATAAATAATCATGAAGATTAAAATTAAAAAAGAGAGACATAAATTGGAGAGAAGAGTGCAGAATGAAAACCTTTCAGTTATATGCACAGTTAAACAGAAATGTTTTGAGTCTGGATTTAAACAGCGTCACAGAAGAGTCTGTCTCACATGTTCAGGAAGACTGTTCCAGGTTTTAGCTGCATGAACCTGAAACGCTGACTCCCCTTGTTTAGTTCTGACTCTGGGCACCAGCAGGAGGCCGGTCCCTGAGGTCCTCAGAGTGCGAGATGGTTCATATGACACTAACATGTCACAGATGTACTTTGGTGCTCGGCCATGGAGAGACTTGTACACAAGCAGAGCTGCTTTAAAGTCTATTCTCTGAGGCACAGACTTAAATAATTCTTGTTTATTCAAGAAGTAATTCTACAAAACCTAATTAAATTAAAACACTGCAGTTGAGTTCAAATATGCACAAATTGGGGACTGTCTTAATATTTTCTTGGTATTTTTCCAGGCCCACAGTTGACCTTATTGGAGCTATGGAGACTCAGAGTGAACCGTCTGAGCTGGAGTTGGATGATGTCGTAATCACAAACCCTCACATAGAAGCCATCTTGGAGAATGAAGATTGGATAGAGGACGCATCGTGAGTCAAACAATTCATTTATTTAAAAACAATCTCATTAAATTTGTTTAGCTCTGCCAAGAACTAACTCTGGACATGATTTAATCAACAGTGGCTTGGTCTCACACTGCATCTCGATTTTAAAGGTAAGGGAGTTGTTTCCGTTTTGATTGATGACTTGCATAACTTAATGCTGCTTTATGTGACTTTTCTGTTGGAGTGTTACTTGTCTCCATTGAGAGGTTAAAGTTTTGCCTGAAATATTCCACTGCATGGCATTAAATTTATGTATCTTCATGAACAAAAGGAGGGGATAGCACCAAGCCAAGTTATTGATCAGATCTGTGGAGAGGCAAGCTTACTCATGATAAGAATACAAGTTTATCAGGGTATTTTTTTAGCACTAAGACACTTCCAGGCAAAACAATAATATCTCCTCTGAGACAATCAGGTAGCAGACACACCCACAAGACAAGTTACAGAGTACACCTGTATTATTAATTTAACTTTTATTACATTTTACAGATTTGTCACACGCTAACAGAAAAGCTGGTTGCTATGACAATGGGCTCAGGATCAAAGGTCAAAGCACCAGCCAGTCTCAGTGATATTATAACTGTGGCCAAACGCATCAGTCCACGGTACATAATAATGTAATTTCTTGATCACTTTACTTACTTAATTTAGGAGTCTTATATAGGCTGTGCTTCTTATTTTCCAGAGTGGATGATGTGGTCAGGTCTATGTACCCACCGCTGGACCCAATCCTCCTGGACGCTCGGTAAATTTGTCTATGTAAATTACCATTAGCTCATTTATAGGCAGGTTGTTATAGTTACTATGCATATGTGCTGCAGACTGACGAAAAGGTAATCAAAGGGCCCATATTACACTATTTTCTGATCTATGTTAAAATGTTGTCTCCTCATCACAAACATATCCGGAGTTGTGTTTTGTTTCATTCACACATGTTTAACACACAAACCCTACATATTTAGGCTGACTTCCTCCCTCAGCCAGAAAATACTCTGTTCCACCTTGTGATGTGATGTCATGTGGTAATACAGGTAATCGTTTGGATGATTTCAGCCCTGGAATTGCCTCTCTCTGCCGAACTAAAGGTTAAAGGCAGCTGTTAACTTGAAAACATGTGTGAATTAAACAACTTGCAGTTTTATTAACAACTAACAACAACAAATTAAACAACCTTATTACCATTTTTATATTGTTATTGTAAAATAATGTGATGTGTGAGCTACTGACTCTAAGTAATTTTCCTTGTGGATCAGTAAAGTTTGTCTAAGTCTAAGTCTAACTCCAGTATGTTTTTGATGAGGTAACAACATTCTAACATGGCTTAAAGCTCACAACAGTCAATTTTGTTTAATATGGGACCTTTAATTATAGTTTTATGACACAAACTGTCACACAACACAATGAGAAAAAGTATCATCCTACCATTTGTACCCATATCTGAGTTCGAGAAGCATTCCTATAGCCCACTGACTCCCTGTTCACCCTGTATTTAGCTTGTCTGTTTCGTCTCAGTGTGGACACATGTGGGCAGCTCTGATGGGCCAGTCTGTGTCTGCATCACGTCAGCTGTCACATGAGAACTGCACCGCTCTACTTAAATACTATCATTGCTGCAGAGAGAAAGCAATTTATAGCTAAACATTTATGCTAAATAAGCTGTACAATGGCAAGAATTGTTAGGTGACTTTTATTTGTTATCACTACATCAGCACATAATATTTGTTTATGCAGTAATATAACATGTAAACAAAACTCTATAAAAACTTTAGTCCAGTTGACAGAACTGAATGTTTTTTTCCTGTAGTCCTGAAAGGTTTTAATGGAAACTGAGGCATTTCAGTTGTATTAAGATATTGGTGTGGATAGATAAATGTAGCTGCATACTTCACCATTATGTAATATGCATTTGATAATGTTTTTGAGGCTTTTATTAGGACTACACAGAGAATTCAACTTGATTAAGACAGGACTAAACCAGTACTAAAGCAGAACTACACCAGTACTAAAGCAGAACTAAACCAGGACTCAAGCAGGACTAAAGCAGGATGAAACCAGGACTAAAGCAGGACTAAATTAAGACTAAACCAGGACTAAACCAGGATGAAACCAGGACTAAACCAGGAATCAGGTCTAAACCAGTACTAAACCAGGACTAAACAAGGAATCAGCACTAAACTTGTACTAAGCCAGGATTTAACCAGGATGAAACCAGGCCTGAAGCAGGACTAAACCAGGAATCAGGATTAAACCAGGACTAAACCAGGACGGAACCAGGATTAAACCAGAACTAAACCAGGACTAAATCAGGACTATACCAGGACTAACCCAGGACCAACCCAGGATGAAACCAGGACCAAACCAGGACTAAGACAAGACTAAACCAGAACTAGAACAAGACCAGAACCAAACCAACACAAGTATGAATCCAGCCGCAACAGCCAGTTTTCACATCATCCCATTACTGAACATAGATCTCTCTAAACGTGCACTTCTTCCTTAGGGCCACTGCTCTGCTCCTCTCCGTCAGTCACTTGGTGCTGGTGACCCGAAACGCGTGCCACATGTCCGGGAGTCTGGACTGGATCGAACAATCCCTGAACGCCGCCGAGGACCACATGGTCGTGCTGAGAGAGGCTGCTCTCGCCTCGGAACCAGAGCGGGGCTTTCCTGCTCCAGAGCCACAAAGAGAACAGGCCATTTAAAACGAACGGTGCACGCTGATGTATGTACAGAGATGGAGTCCGACATTAGGGTTTACGAAAGGTGACGAGCAAACTATTGATACTTTGCAGGTGATGTTATCAATATTCCCTGGGGGTGTGAAGCTAACTGGAAGCTCTACTCTGTCTGAAGCGCTGTTATTCCAGTTAGACTTAATAAGAGCTTTGTTTTAACACAATCCGACCATAAAGAACTGATTTAGCTGGAACTACAACCATTTTTCAGACTCTCACCTTTCTGTTGAAACACCTAAACAGGACAATGGATGCTTGTATTGATCACAGGCTCCTGAAAATGTTGTATTTTTTTTCTTGGTTTGAGGTTTTTTTTTTGTCTGCTAATGTGTGCATTGTGTCATCACAGTAAATGATGAACATTAATAGAGATCCACGTAGAACACCCCCAGCTTGATGTCACTGCAAAGTATCAATTGCCTAAATGTGATATCTAGTTAAAAGGTTTTGCGATATTTACAGTATTTTGATTTGAAAAGCTTTGACTATAGTTCAGATTTAAAACAATAACACTTTGAACCCAGTTAGAAATGGCAATATCCTGAAATAGGTCAAATAATCTAGGCCTAATACAATAGATATTAAATCCAAATTAAAATAACTGTCACTATGGCAACTATAGTACTATAGTTTTGAGGGTGAAGAAATCTATAGCCAAGAACAAAACTACCCACAGTCCTAGTATCTATTAGTATTTTTGTACTTGTTCAATTGTCCAACATTTCTTTAAAAAAATGTTAAAAACAAAATTTTCTATTTAAAACCTTATAGTTATCAATTTCACACTTTTATTGAACTTGTACAGCACTGTACTTCTATTTGTTTATAGATTTTTTATTCCAGCAGGCTCATTTTACCATACGATTAACAAAAAATTTCAGGTAACCAAACTGATAGAAAGGAAGCACAAGCATTTTTTCCACAATACAAAAAGCTTTTCCTTTATATTTCTCAACTAAATGAATTATGTTTGTGCCATGGCCTTGGTCACTGCGTATCTTTTCTGGTTTAGGATCCGCTACCTACTTGTGTCCATGGAGATATTATTGCTTTGCCTGGAATGTTCCATGGTATGACATTAAGCATATCCATCTAGCATTTATTCATTACAGGTGTCTCTGTTGCTCAAAAATACCATAATTCCTTCTGTGAATAGGGGCGACTCTCCACAGATAGACACAGCAATTCAATACAAACATTTCCATAGACATAAGCAGGTAGCAGACCCTTTACTAGAAATGTTATGCAGTGCATCTTTAACAATACAATTCATTAAAAATGTGTTAAAAGTAGTGTTTTTTAAATATTGTATAACAGTAGTATTTTTGTTCAGATGGTGAGTTTTAAGTGCCTCTGTCTAGAATCTGAAACCTTTGGAAATTTCTTCTCGCAGCAGTGGTCCTAAAATCCAATCTGGGCGGTCACATGGAGGCTTAGTCAGTTAATCCATTCTGGGCAAATAACTCCCAGAAACAGCTCTGCTCCCACAGGACCAGTGACTCAGTGGACCAGGACAAGAATACATACTTTTTAAAAATAAATCTTGAGTGAAAGATTTTATGTTAAAAGTTCACCAAGATTTAAATGATAAAAGATCATTTCTAGGTTGCTAAAAAATATACAAACTGTGTTACGTTCCAAATAGGAAGTGCTCATGGGGGCACTTCTGACTCCAGTTGACTTTACACTGAAAAATTGTCTTGCCTATCAGTCGCTGTTGCAATGAGCCTCATCGTTTTGGTCTTAAAATGTTCATATTAACTCGCTCTACATGATCCTGGTGTTTCTATTTTACTATTTTTTCTGTAGATAAATTCCTAATATGTAATTCGACTCCAAATTCATTCCTATAACTGCTTGCCTCGTAAGCTTCATTTGATTGAAGCCAAATGCTGTGTGTCATGTCACACTCATACAGTCTATTATTTGACCCATCATCACTCCAGAAATGTGTAATAGTTTAGAAATAGGCATGACAAATCAATTTTACTACAAGTTCTTATACCAGATGACCTTCAAGTCTCAAAAAACTGTATTTTGATATTGTTCTGATTTGATGAGGTGCACTGTTTCTGGTGAAGGGAGGTTGTCAGCTGCTTCTCTCCATGGAGATGTTGCCTAGAATGTTCCATAGTATGGCATTACTCTTATTTATCTCTACGGAGACAGCATGTGACGCCAAAGGGCCAAGTTATATGTCAGATCTGTGGAGAGGCGAGCCCACTTACAGTAAGAAGTTTTCAGGTAAATAAAAAAAAAACGCATTGAGTAAATTTAAGATGGATACATCTAATGCCATACAGGGACAATTCCAGACAAAGCAATATAATTTCCGTGGAAACAAGCAGGTGGCAGACTCTCCTTTAGAAAAGTTACACAGTGCACCTTTAAGTCCTGATGTTTGGTCTTGGTCTAGTCCAGGTTGAGTCCCAATTTAGTACCAGTTTTGAGGTGCTGTCTGCCAGTGTGAAAGCATATTGACTTTTGACCCATTTCTGGCAACACATAGAAAAATGATCGCACCTATATTATTTAATTCACATTCAAGACCTGATTTGTTTGTACATGTTACATATTTAAACTCAACTGTTGCAAGAAGAAAAATATCTTTAATAAAACATTACAATGAGAAGGCATATGTGCTGTTGAGCTGTATCTACAAGTGGCCAGGAACAAAAAGTACATAAATAATGAAATACACCAATATTTGTTTCGTTTTTTTCACACAATCAGTGAGAAAGTCCGACTGTCACAAGGCTCTTTTATATTGCTTTAAAATGGGGAAAGCAGAATTAGCATGCTGGGTGTTACTGGAGCATGTCTACCTGCTCTCCCATGCATAGCTAATAGGACATCCCATAGGAATCTTTTGTAATGCAATGTCAATAAGTGAACTAGCTACAATATACATGGCACATCACAATGATTTGTACACTCAAGGCAAAAACGTGTGTGAAGAAACGTGATTGTAAAATACCAAAAAAAAATAGCATTCAAATATATATGGGAGAGCTTTTTTGTTGTATATTTTAGTAGGCTTTGTAAACAGTTTTTTCTTGTTACTGAAATGCATTTATTCTCATGTTTTTTTCTTTCATTAAAGGCACTGTACCTGATTTTTACTGTCTTAAAAACATGAAAAACAGAAATAATTCATTCTAAAAGGTTTGCAGTGGCCCAAAGTTAATCATTCTGAGCATCTTAATTATTCACTGTGGTGAGTTTATAAGCTATTTTCACAACCCTCAGAGACGACTGTGGAGTTTTGCCATGTAAAAGCTAGCATGCTAACACAATAAACAATAAAATGGTTTCTAAATAGATGCAGACAGTACACAGCAGACCTATTTCGACCTCAGATACATCTGAACTGGGGCAAGACATGGTTAAAAAAATCAGATGCAGGGCCTTTAATTTGTACTGACACAAGATGAAAATCTATTTCACTGGGAACAATGCAACAGAGAAACCCACACGTCCTGATGTGATAAATAAATGAGCTTTCTTTTCTTTTATTACAGTGTGTGCCGTTCTTTAATAATAGTAATAATAATTCTAACTCTCGTCTGTAGATGAGTGGAGTGGTTTTGTTTGTCTAACTCAGCAGCCCTTTGCTTTTCTTCAGATCAATTTGCTTCCAGCTCGGCAGAGACGCGTACTCATCTCTCTTCATCTCCAAAAGAGTCTGTAAGAAAATGAAATAAAGAAAGAAATGTATTTATGATTGGTTTGTCTTAAAATCTGAACTTCTGTGGGTAAAATAGTAAAGAAAATGATCTGAACTTTAACACAATCTTTTCAAAAAGAACTGAGTTAGTTGAAACTACATCAGGTTGATTTTTACTGTTAAAGAAGTTCTTCTCAAATAACATTACAGTGCCAGGCTAGCTAGCATTAACCTTAAGTTTTTTCAGTTGGTCAGTGCCTTTTTGTTGAAAATCAGACACCTAAACAGGACCATGTATTGATCACATGCTCCTGAGAATGTGTTGTTTAAATCCATTTTGTATTTTTTCTTGAGTTTTCAGACTTAAAATGTATTTGGTAGTGTTTGTTAATGTGTGCATTGTGTCACCATGGTAACTGGTGAACATTCCGCCATACACATACATGTAGAACACCCCCAGCATATCATGTATATCAAGTATCAATTGCATGTATAAGACACCTTTTAATGTACTACCAAACATTAAAGTTACATAGTGCACATTTTAAACAGTTTCACAGTGTTTTACATACTTAAATAAATCTCCTGAACACTGCCTCCTGCTGGCCAGAGTTTCTATTACACAGTTGGTTAAAGTGCTCACCTGGAAGTCTTGGTCGGACAGGTAGACCTCCAGATGCTGGGGGTCCACTCCCTCAGGTAAAGGGCTGTGACAAAGCTCCTCCAGGGGGTACTGAGTCTTCATGAGCTGAGCCAAGGCGTCCTGCACCAAAGTCAGCTTCACCCGCCCCACCTCACCCTGGAAAACACAGATAATATACACAATTAGCTAGAAATTATCAATATTTTATTTGTAATTTGACAATATTTTTTTATGTATTTGTTTATTTTTTATTGTATTATAATTACCTTTTTTGAATTTTAGGATCACTGATCATATGCATCAGTTACCTTTTTCAATTGGTGATTTTTATTAGCCATTACTATGCTATAATATTCCCTATTAACATTTCTTATTCAGTCCATCTCTTTGCCTTTGTATGTTCCACACTGTGATGTCATAACATGGCATCCTCTTTATTAAGGAGCTGAATTAAAGAATTGAACTTTCTGAAGCCGGAACATCTTAACTTAAAGTATAACTGTATGTTAATATAAACCTGGTTGATTTTATGCAATGAAAATCAAGTTGTTTTAATTAGAACATTGTTCTTACTTTCCAAACAAACAAATATATAATTAAAACTGTACTGTGTTCTGTACCTGTGTTTGGGATCCCAGGCTCCTGTCCCAGTTTGGAAACACATTGGTGAAAGTAAGCGGTTCAGTCCCTTCATAGATGAAATATGCCTGGGGCGGGCGTCTTGGATTCATTTCTGATTACAAATAAAATAAACAAATAATACTAAATCTATTTTCATACAAATAGCTATTCATTTCCATGGACACTGTACCTTTGCAGTATTGCAGGGCTGTTTGCATTGCACACCGCCGCTCATTGTGCTCAGGCTGCCCTCTCTGCCACAGGTAAACCTCCAGACGATTATCAAGGAGGAACAAAGCTAAAAACAAAGATTACATAAAAATAAATAAGATTAGAGAGGAGATTTTGACTTTAAATAGTAAGTGTTGGAGTATTATGGCTTCAAGATTAATGCCAATTTGAATAGATGCAAATCACTGTAAGTACCAAAATCTCCTCCACAAACAACAAAATATTCAGTCTTATTCTGCATAAAAACTGCTAACCCAGTATTTATATTTGATATTTTTTCCAAACTGTTTAGTCTGACAACTAGGTTTAAAATACTAGTATTGTATGGACTCAGATTAAAAGAGGGTTTGAAGCCATCATAGTAGTTTTCAAGTTCCAGATCTAAAATTATCCAGCTGATTCTAGTGAAGGAGTTTAAAAACACTTTCTGTATTACCACATGACATCACAAGGTGGAACAGGGTGTTTTTCATTTGAAAGAAGAACTCAGCTTAAATATGAAGGGTTTGTGAATGCGAATTATTATTTATAAATTCTTATTATTATTTCTTGCTCTTGGTTAATATATTGTAATGTGTGGGCTGTTGGCTCCAAGTAATTTCCCTTATGGATCAATAAGTCTAAACCTTAAACATCTGTGTTATACAGTGTGTGTTTGGTTACCAGGCTGTGGGGCAGAGTAGAGAGTTTCCTGGACAAAGGGCATCGCCATGACGACCCCTGGCATCCTGCTCGGACTCTGAAGCTCTTCACCCTTAAAACCCCCCGAGGATGCCCCCAAGTGGAAGAGGCGGGGAGTGAAGTTATATTTGCCTGGATCTAATAACACACAAACAAGCAGATGGAGAACAGGGAGATAGGTGAGGGGAAAAGAGTTTGTGCTTTGTGGTTAGTTCATGATACATACACTGCAAAAAGCAACATCTAGTTAAGTTAAAATGACTTAAAGGTGCACTATGTAACTTTTTGGTTGAGGATCCGTCACCTGCTTGTTTCTATGGATATGTTATTGCTCAGCCTAGAATGTTCCACAATATGACTTTAAACAGTTCTGCCTTACTTTTATTCAATTACAAGTGGTTTTTAGCTCAAAAATACCTAGAGAAACAGGCTTTCTGACTGTGAGCAGGGTTGCCTCTCCACAGATCTGACCTGTAACTTGGTCTGGTTTGATCTCCATGAAGATAGAAAGGTTTAATACAATACTGTGAAACATTCCAGGCTTTTGAAGAACCCTCCACTAGAAAAATTACACAATGCACTTTAAGAACATTTTACTTTATTTGAGTAGATTCAACTTGACAAGTAAACTTATCTAACAATGGAAAAAGTGTGTTTTTCTTAATTCAAGCAACATTTGAGTTTGTTTCTTATTTCAGGTGTAAATCATTGTTGTTTTTCTTATTGTAAGTGTTGCAAGATGTATTTTCATATCTTAAGAACAAAAAGTATTTTTTACTCAAATTATGATAAAACCTTCTTAATTCAAGTAATCTGAACTTAAAATTTTTGCAGCGTAGCATACAAAAAATATATATATTTGTAATAAGATTCAGACTTTGATTTAATTTGAAGTTTTGACTGAATGTATAAATGTATTAAACTTAAATATTTGATTTAAATCTATTCTTCACTGGTCTTGAGAGTCTGTTTTGTTACCAAGAGAAGTCCAAGCAAAGTTCAAACTCTATTAGGAAATAAACCACTTGCAGTAAATTTGGTTTGAGAATAAAATATACTGGCCAGACAGAACAATCGATTTTGTCTTTATCTTTATGTTCTTCCAATATAAAAGTAAAATTACATTTCCCAAGTTTGTTCCATCTGAATCTCCATCTGCAACAAACCCACTAGTACTAGATTACTAGTATATTTTGTATTGTGTTTTTTTAAAATATCCACACATATTAAAGACATGTGTTCTTCAAGACATTTTTGAGCAATAAAAGCACCTGTAACTGAATAAATTACAGTGCTTTTAAGGCTTTAGTAGTTTATTTATTCTTCTAACTTAATAAGACTTGATAAAAACATTTCAAATAAAACTATGACCAAAGGGGTTAGACTGGAGTGAAACCACTTATGAATGCCTAATCCTATTTACAAATTATGACGTCAAGCATACAGCTATCAGTAACAACAAACTTAATAGAAAACACAAAGAAAAACGTAATAACATCTCCATGGAAACAAGCAGGTGACATACCCTCAACCAACAAAGTTACATAGTGCACCTTTACTACATGTTTCGTAAGACTTCATAGCTGTCAGCCTTTGGTAATTTCTGCCAAATAGTTGATCAGTTTTACCTTGTAGCATGCAGTCATAAGCCTTTCGGTCCATGTGTCCAAGTGCAGCCCAAAATTCTGCAGGTTCAGATCCTTCCTCCACTGTTTGCACCCTCAACTGGCTCCCTCGGCTCAACCCCAGCTCAGGAGGGCTCCTGCAGTAGTGTGCAAAAACAAATTTAAGACAAATGTAAATTTTGAAATCAGCTTTAAAATTAAGTATGGTTTGGACCTAACCATTGAATAGAGAAAAGGAGCAAATTTGTAGGGCTAATTTAGGGCACATTCACACGTGTCACACTGGTTTGGTCCTAGTTTGGGTCCAGTTAGATAATGTATGCAGATGTAGATGTAATTTGGTCCTGTCTTGGCTTAGTCTTGGTTTAGTTCGTAGCTTGATCCCAGTTTAATGTGGTAGCTGTCCAACATCCTTAATTTCCTGAACGACCCCAACATCTATCACCACCTTGCATCATATATAGAGAAAGGACTAGATAATGTGAGCACCATTTGTCATTATGAGATCATTTGATTAGATAAAAGGCAGTTGTGGCTACATAATTATCTTACCACACAGTATGGGGAGTGAATGAATAATGCATGACAATGTTAAGTAACTATGTTAAAATTCTGCATTATTATTTTTCTATATCTTTTGTTTTGGGTAACACTTAATAATTGCACCTCAATTAATAATAAAGCATCAAGAAATATTTAATTCATAATGATCTAATAGTGTACCAAGGATTTAGGCATATGTATTTACTTAGTTAAGGTGTTTTAATTAAGTAGATGTTAAGCCTCAGTTGTTCTTAATAAACCATTTGTTCAATATTAAACTATTTTCTGATCTATGTTATAATGTTGTTTCCAATGATGTTGTCAGACTAATAATATGCTGGGTATGTTTTTGAGGAGCTAACAACATTATAACATGGCTTAATGCTCACAAGAGTCAATTTTGTGTAATTTAGGACCTGTAAGGCTGTAAATAGTGAAGTAATTATAAAAAGTTACATGTTTTTGGTCAATCTTTCTTGGGTAGATTGCGTGGAACCAAACATTACTAACTAAGTTTTAACTAACTAAATATTTGTGTATCCCCAGGAGGTTGAGTCAAATGTATTAGAGAGGATGCTTATTGCACTGCATTTTACAATTTAGAGCAGTTTGCACTTTGCAGGTCTTACATCTGAGTTAGCCGCTCCATTGTCCTCCTGGTGACCTCTCTGGTGCTGGCCTGAGCTTTGCAGCCGGTCCATTGATATACTACCCCCTGCTGACTGTGGAGCAGAACTACAGAGCCCCTGGATCTGAGTCCAGCGCAGCAGCAGTCCACCTCCGTCAGTGAGGCCTCCTCTGGCAGCTCCCCTCTCACAACAAACAGACGCCAATCTCCTATAAATAACAGTAACATAGAACAGACACATATATGGTAGCTATATATCCAGACCTGGTTAATTCCTGGTTTAAAACTTGTGTAGTCTTTATTTTTAGACCTGCTTTCAGTCCTTTTGGTACAGAACAACAGTAAAGGTCCCAGCAAAATATTTTGCCCTAGCTTTTACTTCACTTGGGAGTAGTTAGTAGCAGTAGTAGCAGTAGTACCAGTAGTAGGAGTAGAAGGAGTAGCAGTAGTGGTAGTCACTTCATGGTGGCAAAAACATTTCAGAGGGAGTAAAATATGGCAATGATATTGGAAAGCAACCAAACTTTGAGTATAACTTTATTTTTCTGCACTTTTGTAGTTTATTTTCTCCCTTTCTCCTCATTTTATCCTATCTATATTGTCCTGGTCTAATAATAATGTGGTATATTGTACAGGAAAAAACATGATTGTACCTGTTCTGGAGGAGGCTTCTTCTCGAGTGCCTTTGTGAATGACCAGACCTCCTTTAAACAGCTGCAGGAAACACGGGGGCTCTCTTCCCTGAGGCACCACAACCTTTCAAAAATACATTTCACAATGTCATTATATCTTTGATGTTTGTAATAATATAATATCTATATTTTTTGTTAGCATATACCAATATCTCCAATCGAACATTCTTAACTCTCACATGAGCAATAATTATTCAAAAGGAACATTAAACAGGACTGATGAAATAAGGAAAAAGTATCATTTGATTTCCTCCCCTCACCTGTGCTGCCTCCTGGTGGTTGGTCCCGATGGCAAGGAAAGCAGCAGTGTCTCTCCCTGTGACGCTGGAGTGACGGCCACGCCACAAAAAGAACGCTGTGTTTTCCTTCAAACCGGAGTCCAAACCGTTTAATTTATCTGTGAATCAGACAAAAAATGTTTCAATGAAAGGTTCAGTGGGTTTTTAACATGGACACAAATACTTTTACTTTTTATATAGATCCTATTTTTTAAATATTGTTAATGGTAAACGCCGATATTTATCTAAAATGGCATTGACCTGTCCTGCCCTTGTCCTGTTCAAAACTGCAGAATTGATTAGCCATGCTTCTTCATAATGGCATAGCAAGCAGCAAATTTTGAGTGTTAAATGTCTAGTCATCATAAGTAAATATAGACCAGAGTTCATAAAATTAGATTTTTCATTATATCTCCTTTATAACTCACCAGTGCAGTTGAATGTGTAAGTCCAGCGGATCACATAGGACTCCCCCTCATGTAGCTGTCCCGTGCACTCCACAGGGACTTCAGTATCGTCAAACTCCTGAACGAGCCATGTGTCCACAGCCAAAGTGTTGAGCTCCGCTTGCTGCCCGTCATCCAGAGAGATGACCCCATGACCCCTCTGCACGTCCACGCCGCCCAGAACGCTGTGCACCACCACGTCTTCCTCTGCGGACTGTCCCGAGACTAGAGCTTTAGCATCACACGGGCTGAGGGGGTCTGAGGAGGGGGGCTGTGACTGGGAGAAAAGACGATTCAGAAAAAAAAAACAACTTTCGAATACAGGACTTCATAAATGAATGTATATTAATATTGCCATGAAGTAATACTATGATGTAAAAATTTTCTAATTCCAGTCTGAAGGTAAGGTCGTAAAGTACACTTTATTGATCCCACGTGAGGAGTCAATCAATCAATTCATTCTTTACATTTGACCCGTCCTTCAACCAGTACTACTAGAGCAACCTGTCAGGAGCAGTGAGCTACCGCCATACAGTACTCTGAGACCTATCTTCAGATCTTGAGCTAGACTTGATCAGGATTGTTGGAGGATCTGGCCTACTGTGAGTGCTTTGGGTTGGTAGTCTTGAGCTACAGTATATTAGGACTAAACAACTGCAATACTGAGCAATCTTCAAGTGATGCAGAATGACAACTTTCTTTTTTTATAATTAGAATATAAATGTTTTGTAACCTCAACTTGGAAGTATGAAAAGTAACAAAAGTCAATTTGATCCTAGCAGCTTCAAAACAAAAAGGTACTACCTTGCCTATAATTGCTCTCCATTGCATTAGCAGGTTAAAGTGTAAAGTGTAATAAACAAGTGTAGTTTTTATGTATGCACCTGCGTTTCATTTGTCACTGGTGCAGGGGCTGGCGCAGGGGCTGGCGCAGGAGCAGGTGCAGGGGCTGGCGCAGGAGCAGGTGCAGAGGCAGGGGCAAGTACATGGGCAGGTAAAGGGGCAGTTTTGACTCCACTCCTGGTCCAGTCCAGAAACTTCTCCCTGAACAAAGAGGTCTCACTGTGTTGGGACATGAGGCTGAACAGGGCCCATCCAGGACGCCCCTCCCCCCTCCTGAGGACACAAGAGAGGTTATGGTTAATAGCTCTGTATTCACTAGGCCTATTCATATGAATAACAGATACAAACTTCACAATCTCTTACATCAGCACAAAAAAAGTCAAATATTTTTTTTCCCAGTAGCTTTAGAAAGTGGTGGCAATATTCAACCTCAAAAATGTGATTGATAAGATCAGTAAAAGGGATTGAAGCCTGAAATTATGACATCATCAAATATTAGAAAGTGAGTGGAGCCTATTAACATGTCTGTGTTTGCATCTACACAAACCTGACTCTTTCTGAGCTTGTTTCCATAGAAATGTTGTTCCTTTGGCTATATTATTCCATAGTATGGCATAAAATGTATCTAACTCCATAGAGAATGTTTTGAAGTTTGGCATTTTATTTCCATGGAATCATGCAGATGACATGTCACCAGTAGAAAGTTACATACTGCACTTTTAATCCTTAGTCCTTGTTCAACATTATAGCAGATATACTCACAGCTGCACAGTGGGGTTGCTCTGTGTAGGGTCCAGGGGGTTGACTCGACAGTTGCTGTAGTCGTATGGCCCTGCCCACACCTGCTGAGCCAACTGTAAAGCCACACCCCTCTTGCTCTGGGACACGCCCTCCCCCAGCCATAGGTAGACCTCACTTCCAAAGTCAAACACCAGAGTCTGAAAACAAATGAGATGGAAAATCTGTTCATAAAGTGTTTTTAAATTTTTATGGTGGATGGAGCAGTCTGACACTGTAAAGCTTGGGTACCCAAAATTTTGACCAAATTAGAACAGTGTATACAGTACTGTCTGCATCTAGTCATGAAGTACTTTCAGTACAGAAATAAGAGCAGAAACCAATGCTTGGGTTGTGTGTGCTTTGCCATCTAAAAAAATTTCAAAACATTTTTGCATGTGGAAATTACCAATGTGGTAGATGGTTTGAGAGACTTAGATAAAGTTAGACAAATTTAAATTTCTACTTCCTCCTTCTGTGGTGTGAAAATCATGTTATCCCAGCTTTAATATGGCTGCATCTCAATATGTCATATGTTTAATGTAGCACTTTAAGTATCACAAGGACCAAGACTTTTGTACAGTTCCAAGTCTGTCTTATTTGGGTTTTCATCGAAACATTTGCAAGTCAAATACCTGCCTAATATGAATACATTTCATGAGGATAAATATGCATTTTTCATATACTGTCACATTCCTACATTGTCACACTTATATCTATCTACTTACTTTTGAATGCTGTGTAAAAATCATGAGATCCTGGTCATACCTCACTGGAGTGGAGCAGGGACACAGAGGGGACACATGCCCAGGCCTCTTCATGAGGCACCAGTCTGTCCTCTATCAGACGATACACACAGTTTGACTCAGTCACTCCTCTCTCAAACTGCTCATCCTCTTCCACCGCACCAGCTCCTGAAAAAGATAAGACTTAAGTTAAATAAAATATTTTCTCTTTTGAAACTGGGAAAATAGTTCTCAAAATATTACATATAACAGGAAGGTGAAACCCATGAGTAGCTGCTTGAGTTAGTATGAAACTTTTACGTTTACCATTACCCACCCAGTCCAAACGGTAGTGGGGTTGTTCCATAGCTTTTGTATTTATTTTCAACTATCATGATGGATTTATCCTCAAATGTTTTTCTTGTAACCCTCATCTCTATTTAAAAAACATGTAAAACATACAAATACATGTGCATATATTTGTGTCCTCACCTCTGTACTGTGTGCGTCCTCCCAACAGGCTCCAGAAGTCTGCTCCCAGGGCGCTGTCCGCGTTCAGTCCCTCCTCCAGATGCACGACCTGGGACGCCCCACAGCCCAAGTCCCCCTGACTCTGAACCAGGAGGGCCAGATCATGGGCCTATCAAAAGAATGGGAAATTTAAGAAAAGAATCCACTACCACCACACTAATATGTGGAGAAAACCACCTTGTAAAGTTATTTCAAGTAAATTTTTCAATGTATTTTACTATTTAATCCAATCAATGTAATTCTTTCTATTTTCTAAGCTAACTTTTAAATAAACTTAATTTTAAATACAAACTATTTACTTAATTTACTTTAGTTTTAAATGAATCCTAATTTTACAGTTGTTTGGTGTAATGTTGGATTAATTCACTCCATTTTGTATAAAAATAAGTTTGTGCATTTTGCCTTTGGATCTTATAATGTAATTCTGACACTTTTCTGTTTTTCATAGCATGTAAATAAAAAATACTGTATTATGGATTTATTTAGAAGCATTATAAAACAATATAGTGTTACCTTGGCTTTCTCTTGCTCATTGGCAAACTCTCCACTCCACACGATGCAGTGCTCCGGAGTGACCAGCAGGTAGCAGTCTCCACTATTGAGAGACCTGACAGAGGGCTCCACCAGTCTGACCTGAACATGCCGCCTTCCTGTCATCAAATTATAACTATTGAATACAAAACATTGACTTATTTACACTAAAATAAACAGTGAAGTAAAGCAGATTGTGACCTTTTAAGAGAATAAGCATTAGGTTTTTATAGGGCACACGGGAGACATCTTCACATCGAGAGGCTTGTGAGTGACTCGAACAGTTCTTTGATTCTGCAACACAAAAAATAAACATAATTACTTAAATATTAAGAAAACAGCAAAACATATGACAAAAAAGCAAAACATCTGCCCAGATTACTTTTTCTGGGTAAAACCTAATTGTAATTCAGGTCATTTTTTTTATTTATTTACTGAAACACTACTAGCTACAAATTCATGATCTGTGTCTGTGTGTTATTGCTGCCCTATTTGTTATTTTGTATTTTAGTTGTTATATATTGACATTTTTGGTGCAATTATGACAACTTTTCACTGAATTTAAACTACCAAATGTGTAAAGTCCAGTTAGTTATAACTCACTCTGTTGAGCCTGCAGCCTCTCCTCGGCAGACTCTCCCATAAAGTCTGACTGGAGATCTTCTCTGGCGGCGAGTGCTCGGAGCGGGTTCCTGGAGCCCTGAGTGCGGCGGGACGGGCGCACAGAGCGTCTGTGCTCTGCTACCGCCGAGCTCAGGCTGAAAATACAGAGACACTTTTAAATGGAAAAGTTAATAAAAATACCCAACAGTGTAACAAAGATTTGTGTTTTGTTTGCTCCATTTTTTGGGCATTTGAACAGAGTGTATGATTTGATATGAACGTATACCACACACATGTTCCTGAGAGATTTGAACAGTTGATGGTCAAGGTAGCGATAGTGACAGTTACTTGTTTCTATTGAAATGTTATTGCTTTACCCTCTGTATTCCAGCGTATGGCATTAAACTTTTGATTCTCCATAGAAACAAGCAGGCGATGCCACAATGCAATTTATATGTGAAGAGGTGATCCCACTCACAATAAAAAATCCACGTTTTAAAATCTATTTTTAAGCAATAAAAACATATAAGTTTAATACTATATTGTGGAACATTACAGGCAAAACAATAGCATCTCCATGGTAGAAGCCCCCAACACTAAATGTTACACAGTGCTCCTTTAAAATGCATTATTTTAGTAAATCCCTGGACTTTAACCATACTAATCAGACTAGAAATGGTTGTAGCTGATTCTTCTTACTTATGTTAACCTTCAACCCACAATTTTTCCACGCAGATATATAAAACTTCCTGATATCTCACACTCACTTCATTGCTGATCATATTGCTTAAATGACAAAAATGTAAAACAAAAAATGAAACTAAAAATGAACCAGGTCTAAACTAGCCCCTGATACAGCATTAAAAATAATATATATAAAACTCTAATTCTAACACCAGTCAATTAGAATTCACTCAAAACAGATGTGCGTCTCACGTGGGGGTGTTGGTCTGACAGAACAGGTCCTGTGAGTCTGAGGCGGAGGAGTCTCTTGGAGGGGGAGCACAGGGGAGGGAAGGGGGCTGGTCGCCATGAAACCCTCCATCAGAGGGGCGTGGTTCACAGGTGGTCGACATCTCCCTCACCTCCTCAGGGGCAGCTGTGTCTTTGGGTAAACATGCTTCAAATTCTGCATCTGAAAATGTATGAAATGCATAACAAAAAAGCATTTTAGAAATTATTTTAGCATAATACTATAAAATATTACAAGAGTGTAGACATAATCAAGTAGGCCTCCACTGTTTTGTATTTTGTAGTAGTTGGAGAAAAAGTTGTACTATTATTGCAAGTACAAAAAACTGTCACAAGACAAGTTTTATATTAAATGACACGTAATTAATTGAAAATATAATCAGAATTACAAAAAAAGTTTTATTACCATTGTTAGTTTGCAAAATTCACAAATTATAGACTTGCTGTGGTGATATGATGCAACATAAAACAAAGAATAATAAAACTGAAGTCTGAACTATGATAAAATAAGGTATGCAAAAATATGTGTTCTTCTTTCTTTATTTTGGCCAAATGGTTTCAGTATTCAAGACATTAAGCAGTTTAAAATAGAGGTGAAGAGCAGGGAGATGCATTTCATAGCTTGTCAGAACCAGGAATTGATCTTCCAAGGTTTAGCCCAGCACCAAACCTGACATGTATGCATATACAAGTAAAAAGGCTTTTTCCAGGATTAAATGCAAAGAGTTACTATATTGAAACTGGTACCAAATAAAGCAGATTATTTTGTATGAGTTCACCTCTTTCATCCCTCTGTTCCTCCACTGGAGACCCTGCACTCCTCTTCTGCTCACGTGTTACTTCAGGCTTTGCACCATTGGACTCCTCATCGCTCCCCTAAAATGGGACAACGACAAAAAATAAATAAATCTTAAATCAATGTCTTAACTCCATATATAGAAAAAATATAGTATAACATAAGAGTTAACAGCACTAGGGTTATTAAGATAATTTACCTTCTTTCTCCACAGAGGCTGAGAAGAGGAATTTGTGCTGGTGATGCCACCTCCTGGGCCTCAAAAGACTGACTTTTCTGAGGGTACATGAAATAATACACATAATATTACATATTTAAGTATTGCAAACACAGAGTCTTATACACAGATGATGCAGAAATAAAGGTATTCACTGTGCATTGACAAAAAAGGAGACATTTTGAAGATTTATTCCAAAACAAAACAACAAAAACAGTGCAATTGCTGTTTGTAATCACAGTAATTTAAAAATAAAGCATTCATTATCACATGTATGGTCCAATAGATGTATCAGGATGTACATACATATTTGGCACATATAAATACATTTAAATATGGATTAAATAATTATTTATTGAATTTTCAGTGAAATCCACATATTCATATACAGCATATTCAATTAATATTTTGTAGAGACATCACGCTGGAGGTGTTCTACATGTATCTCTATGGTGGAATGGAATAGTGCCACAATGCACACATTAGCAAACATTGCCAAAAAGTTTTAAGATTGACTGAAAACTCAAGAAAAAATACAAAATGGATTTAAACAACATATTTTGAAGAGTCTGTGATCAATACGAGTGTTCATGGTCCTGTTTAGGTGTTTAACTTTCACCAAAATGTGAGAGTGACTAACTGAAAAAACTGTGATTGTAATTTTAGTATGATGTATGAGAGACTTGTTTCGGAGCACAGATCAGCTCACCTGTTGTAGTTCTAGCTAAATCAGTTCTTTATGGTCAGATTGTGTTAAAAATAAAGCCTCAGACAGAGAAGAGCCTACAGTTAGCATCACACCCCCAAGAGATGTTGATGATATCAGCTGCAAACATTACAAATTCTAATATAAATACATAATTCTTTTTATAACCATAACTTTATTTAGAAATTGATGTATCTTAATTTGCACATTATTTGTTGTTTTGTACTGTTATATTGATCAGTCTCAGTTCAAGATAAACAGCAGTTGTCACAATATTTTTTATTTACATGTGCCGCACTGTGCATCATATGCACTTTCAATGCAAAGTGAATACAAAAACAACACAGGAACACAGGTATTCAATAATGTAATGGTTAATGCAATGGAGCGATGAGTTTAGTAGAGGAGAGAAATGAAATAAGCCGAGATGTATGACTTTAGAGAAGGACTGGGGAAATAAAAGTCCTTAAATTCACACACTTTTAAAGGTACACTGCTTAATTTTTTGAGGAGGGTCCACTGCCTGCTTGTCTCCATGGATATGTCAATTTGCCTGTAAACAGTAAGGCATTAAATATTTATCTAGCATTGTTTGCCATTATAGATGTTTCTATTAGTCAAAAATACCTTGAAAACATCCATCTTCAGAGTGCATGAGTTTGCTCTCCACAGATGTGACCGGTAATAACTTGTCCTGATGGCACCAACCACTTGTTCACACGGAGATGTTATTTTTTAATGCTGTACTTTATGGAAACAAACATGTAGTGGACCCCCCCACTAGAAAAGTTACGCAGCGCACCTTTAACTGTATCGTGTCAAACTCACACTTAGATATGTTCAAATATTTTCACTGCACAAAATTCGCCAAAAAACAGCCGTGCAGTTACCTGGTTGAAATACATAATGTACTGAGGCCTACTGCTAGAAAACACAGAGGCAAAGACGGGGCCCTGGGAGAGAGAGACAGTTCAGAGGAGAGAGAGAGGAGGGGGGGTGCTAAAGCGTGATGTGATTTTGTATGATATGAAGGGAACCCATGCATTTTAAGGAGTTGGTACAGCCAAACTTACCCAGGACTGAGGAGTGTCACTGCTGTCGCCTTGTGCAATGTCTGAGTCGTCCTACAGAGGGCAGCAGAGAGGAGAGGGAAAGTTAAAGGTAATGGCAGTAACACGTGATCTTCCTGGTTAAAGAAATACAATCACAATTCCACCTGGGATGTTAGTCGCTGTCATATACTGAGGAAGAACATACATCATATTTATTGTAAACAGGTTTTAGTCAGCATCTGGCAATCCAACAACAGCTTATTTTGCTTTTTGAGTGAATCATTGGTGTAAGGCATAAGAAAATTTGCATTGTCTTTATCAAATCATAACATATTTGCTATTAAAAAAAAGGTTTGAAAATGCTGACTTTTTATCTTGGGACGTAGAAGTTTCCGAAATATTAAAACTGCACCATGTAACCCGTTTGCCTCCTTGGTTATTGCTTTGCATGTCACGTTCTACAGTATGGCATGAAACTCATCTATTTCCATGGAGACAATCAGGTAGCCCCACCTGGCCAAGATATTGGTCAGATCTGTGGAGAGATATTTTAGCAATAAACACCTATAATGTAAAGCTGTCAATCAAACCTGTTGCTAATGCTATCGGGAGCAACTTTGGTGAAAGAAGGCACCTGATTTGTTTGCTATTAATATTGAAGGACAAAACTGCGAAATACAAACTCTGGGATCATGTACAGTGGGTTAATACGGACATTTATAGATCAAAATGACGAGACTCACAGCAGCGTTTACAGAGAGACGGGCAACAGCTTTTTAATAGAAAGTGAATTGGAGCCAGTCGATCCTCCCATGCTCACTTCCTATTTGGAACGTGGCAGTCAGTGTGTTAGCTATGTTCATTTATATATACAGTTGATGGTGCCTCCAGAAAATTTACAAGTTACAAACAACTACAAGGCCCTACACATCCCATTATCAACAAAGGTATTTCACTATAGTTGTCATATTTAGCTGAAATTAATTTGTGTATTAATTTACCATATTTCGTTTGTATTAAATGTCTCTCAGCAGGCAACACCGTGAATGACACCCCAGTTAATCCAGTAATATCCTGTAATAATTCACATGCATAGCTCATACATGTTGTCACCATGGTGCACCCTATTCCAAAAGGTCACGAAGGGGTTAGATTTTTACCACCTGAATAATCAGTTTGTTTACATTCCTCCTCTCGTATCCACGTACATAAACACTGCGTAGTCCTAGTAACATAAGTCTGATCTCAAGACATTTAGCACATACCAAAAGTAGCCATGGGATGTTATATCTGGTTTCACTGAAGCAACCAAAGTCCAAATCTAACCACAGGCATCTTCTCTCTCAGGCAGCGAGAGCAGTTAGCAAACCCTGTGACCTCTCAACTTATGCAACAACTTTATTTTAATAACGCGGATTAATGTACGGTAACATCAACAGTGTAAAACTGATTGACGTTAAAGGTACATTGCATAACTTTTCTTGGAGGGTGCCACAGCTGCTTGTCTCCATGGAGATGTTATTTCTTTGTTTGGTATATTAAACACTATGGCTTTAGACTGATCTATTTTGTATTTATTCACTTACAGGTGATTTTATTGCATTTTTACAGTCGCCTATCCACAGATCTGAACCTGTAACTTTGCCAGATAGTGTCACCTGCTTTTCATGGATTTGGATACTGTGTCGAACATTCAAGTCAAATCAATAACATCTCCATGGAGACAAGCCACTGGGAAACCCCACCAGAAAGGTTACATATTGCACCTTTAAATATTTGTTGTTAATACTGTAATGCTTTTTTAAAACTCTTTTTGGGCTCAATTTTGGTTATATTCTTCTTTATTAAAATTAAACTGCTATAAATGTATCATTGATTTAACAAATGTTTTTTTTTTTTTTTTTTTTTTTTTCACATTTTAGAATCCAACTACAAGGGAAGAAATGTATAGGCAGGGCATCTGACATAAAACCAAAGCTAAATTGTATTCTATGCAAGAGAGATGAGTCCACTACTTCTTTGCTGCTGACCTTTGACCTTTAACCTTGGCACCTAAACTGACAGTATGAAAAAATACAGCCCCCAAATGCAACTCCACAGACGAAAGATCATGTCAAACACACAACAGCTGAACCTGGGATCAACAAACCACTTAACTTAATTGGAGTTTGGATACACTTCAAACATGGATTTTCAAGGAGGAATATATAGTGAAGGATTGACAGGCATGCAGTGATGAGTTTATTGAATCTTTTGTTGAATCTACTTGAGCCAGATTAAGTTAAAAATAAACCAACAACCACTCTTGACAAATCAAAGACTATACATGTAGTTTTGTTTATTTTATATTATGCCAATTGATCCCATTTTAGTGGAGAGAACAATGCAAAATGTCTTAAAAAAAAAGCTAAAAACATTCATAACTCAAACTCCATAAAACTGTAAACAACTCACTCTTATGTAACAGATAACCCTACATCCTGACAGTCGATATTTCATCTTTGCACTGTTTCTCCTTATGACCTCTTGTATATAGTCAAGATATATTTACTGTGTTTCTATATTCTTGTTTTCTTCTACATATACAATACTTATTTGACACCAGTCTCTTACTATTTTTGTTACTTATTTTGAATGTATTATTACCATTTATATTTTTGCTCTTAGGTATTATAATATATTGTGATGCTACTGTGTCCAAATCATTTCTCTCTAGATCAATAAAGTTTAAGTCAAAGGCTGATAAGTAAAGTAGAGTCTACGTCTAAGTTTTCTTACCTTAGTCCTGGTGCCATTGGTGACCTGTTTTGGTTGAGTGCTGCTGTCATGTTTTGGAGCTTGTCCTCTTGATGTTTCTCTATTCCTCACACTGCTGTCATGGTCATTCCTCCTGAAAATATATAAGATGAAGTATTAGGTACAAAAGTGCAAACAGTGTCCCTGTGTTCAATAATGGTCAGATTCAGCTTTATTTTGTGATTTATGAATAATGTCTGTTCACTTGGGTCATGAACATTTGTGACTTTTAAAATATGAGTCCTCAGAAAAAAAGTCTGGGAAACACTGCCTTAAACTACCCGGTTTATAACTAAAATAGTATATTACAGTATAGAATAATATATTACAGTACTGAAATTTATAGTAATTCCTTAAGCAGTAGCCTTATTTGTGTACATTAGTGTGTTAAAGGTTACAATCATAATGTAGTTATGTGTCTGCATGTACAAATACAAATACAAATTTCAAATACAGGCATAACAGTTTACAATAGCATAAAAAGAGAGAGTCAACTTGACAGGTACTAAGAATGAATGTCAATAAACAGTACATAAACTTTTTAATTAGTATATGCAAAATTAGAAAACGTTATAGCTAGACGACATTAAACTACTCTAAATACTACTCTGACTACAGCTGTATTGTGAACTATATACTGTATATATATACTCTTTCTTGGTATTTTCTTGGTGTTTTCTACACAGACTTGTTCACTCACTGGACAGGAGAGGCACCGTGTCTCTCAGTTTGAGTCACTTCCTGGTTTGTCTCAGGTCTTGTTGGTGTACAGGCGATTGTTTCTCTTCGGCCCCGCCCACGCTGTCGCCATGGAACTCTACTCGGAGATGCCCCGTCCACGCTCGCCCCCTGCTGCAGTGATGTCATTTCCTGTCTCTCCTCTTTCCTCATCATAACATCAGTGTCACCGCCATTTTGCTCAGGTATAACAGGCGTGTCGTTATGGCTACAGCTGCTAGTCCTGGACCAATCAGATCCTCCAGAGCGACTTTTCTTTAAGATGCTCCTCAAAGCTGGTTCAGACTCAGTGCGGGGTAGTTGAGGCAATTGGGGCAGTTGGTTTGGTGGAGTAGAAAAGCATTCAGAGCTCGGGTCCAGTTTTGGCTGTGACAGGCGGACCTCGCTGGGTTTGAGGTTGATGGACAGAGCCTGCTGTCTGTCTGAGAGATGAGGAGCCAGGGAGAAAGCAGGGAGCTGCACTGGGCCTTTCTGGAGCTAAAGGGAGAAAGATAGTTCATTACTATTTAAATTTGCTTGACTTTTTTAAAAGCATAATTATTATATGAAATTTAAGAGACTTTGTATCTCCAACACAGCCAGAGTCCAAAGATTTACCGCAACCCTATGCCCATTTTATAACTAACATTTACTAAACCAAAGATTTGGTTCTGTGACTGTCCAGTTAATGGGACACCTGCACCACTGGCAATGTTTTAAAGAACTGTAATAAAATCAACATCAACATCAAAACTCTAAATTCAGAACTAATCCAGAACCAAACCAGATCTCCTACAGGTACTACAGAACTAAAATGGGCTCAAACAAGGACCCAACATGGGCAAGTAAGAAACATAAGCGGTAGTTAGTAGTAGCAGTTTATTTTCTTCATTCATTAACTGAATGGATTAATAGAAACATTTCACACAAAATTAAAGTGAAACCACTTATGAACCTAACCCTATTTACAAATCATGTTGCCAAGAATATGGCAAGCAACAGGCAACAAGCGTTACTGCTCACCCCTTCACATCATACAGTAACAGTATACATTATTTTACACTGAAATATGACTGCATGGTTTTATTATTTAACTGCTGTGACTTTGACATGTTTATTAGGTGTACAGTTTTCTTTCTTGTGAACATTGTATTTGTGGTACTCACCAGATTGACCTCCTCCACAGTAATGGGCTGGGTACGGTACCGAGCCCCCTTCTGCCTGCGCCTGTCAGGGGCAGGATCGACAGGGGCACCTGCCATCTTCTCCGGCAGGGACAGTTTGTTGAACAGAGCCAGTTTCTCGCTCATGCTCATCTTACAGCTCTCGTCCTCCACTGGCTCTGGCTCTGAGGGCCCTGGATCTGCTGCTGCTGGGGCTGGTTTGGGGGAACTGCAATAACATGGATTCATATTAGTTCAATTTTATTATATAAGTCCAATCAGTATGAATGAAAATTTCTATGTTAAGATATTATATTATATAAATTAATAATGATAGCAAGCAGAGAGTTGCAGTCTGAGCACAAGTTTCCTATCTAATTTTAAATGTGCACAAATAGATGTACAAATACAAAGACTGTGATGGGCAGCCATAGAACAGTTTGTTTGTAGCAATGGCAAGTGCTGCTGTTAACTGAACAACTGATGCTTTCAAAACAGTATCATCATATTTATTCATTTATTTGCACTTCAAGCGATCCATGGTAAGTGATATCAAATATACAGTTATTTTATCTAAACAATGAACCAATCCGGCAACTTGACACCTTTGGTGGACATAAATGTCTAATGCTTTCTGGTTTAAGTTGTATTAAGTCTGTTGAGAGCCCACCTTACTGCCCCCATCTCCTCACAGGTGATGGGCTGCGTCAGAAACCTTTGGTCATGGTTCCTTCTGGTTCTTCGCTCGTGGTTCACACTCCCAGAGCGCGGCTTCAGGAGGGAGCTGGGGCGGACTTCTCCAGTTCCTGCATAGTCAGTGGCAAAAGGCTTTTTAAAGGGTCCACATTACACCATTTTCTCATCTAAATTACAATGTTTCCTCATTAAAAACATACCTGGAGTTGTGTTTTGTTTCATTCACACATGCTTAACACAAAACCTTGCATATTTAGGCCGAGTTCTTCTCACAAACAGAAAACACTGTTCCACCTTGTGATGTGTTTTTAAACTTCATAGACTTTCACCAGAATCACTTGGGTAATTTCAGCTCTGGAATTCTTAATCTTTACTTAACTACAGACAAAGGTTGTTAACTTGAAAACTACTGCCACATAACATCACAAGGCGGAACAGAGCATTTTGAGTTTTGGAGATGTAGACAGACTAATAATGTAGAATTACTCAAATATGTGTGAATGAAACAAAACACAACTCTAGGTATGTTCGTGAAATCCCTCAGTCGCAAGTAGGACCCAGAGCAAAGGATAAATTCAATTCTGATAACTGGGCAAAAGTTTTTTGATCTATTCGATCATTTCGCAGCTCATTCAAGCTGCTTCTTCAGTTCTCATCAGACGTTGGTGGACACACTGCCTTATATCTGCCTGAGGGAACACTGTTCTGACATGGCTTAAAGCTCACAAGAGTCAGTTTTGCATAATATACCTTTAGAATGTGATCAGGTGGAAATCAAACCACAAAATGGCAGCAAAGCTCTCCTAATGATCTCCTCCTGTTTGTAAAGGTGAGGTGGGTGAGGTGAGTCAGCTGGTGGGTGGATAACACAGGGACATGGATACCACAGCAGCCTGATGGGTCGAACTGTAACCAGACCTGTCCCGGCTTCAGTTACTGCCGGTCCCTGCAGACTACTGGCTAATTATAACACAGCTGCTATGCTTGTTAATGGCAATAGTGTCTGGCAAATTTTCACCTGCCAATTTAAGAGCAAGGTGGAAAAAGTAGTAATACCCAAGTAAGTACAAAATACCTTTGCAAAATAATTAAAGGATAACATTACTAGAAGTGACAACAAAGACAATAGATTTGATGCCTGAAAGGTCACACACTTTCAAGTAAATGACAAAATTATACAACTAACTTATTAAATGTAAGATGCACTGTGTAACTTCTCTAGTGGAGGGTCTGCCACCTGCGCGTCTCCATGCTACATAGGTCTCCAGGAAGAACACTTGATAGCTAAGGTCAGTTAAATACAATCAATCAATGAACCTGCCCAGGGACTACAGGTGGAAATTAGCACTGATGCTACAACTTGGTACAATGCATCTCTCCTGTTAAGGTTAATGTAAAAAATGTGCGCTGTCTCATTAAATAAATAAATAAATAAATAAATGGAGATATTACTGTTTTACTTTGATTATTTCACAGTATAGACATACATTTGGTAATCACAACGGAGACAGGTTAATGGTCAGACCTAGGGAGAAGCAAGCCTGAACATGGTAAGCATTCATGTTTTTTCAAGCTATTTTTAAGTTATAAAACACTTGTAATTGAACAAATGCAAGGCAAGGGAGATAAGGTTAATGCCTCATTGTGGTGCATTCCAAGCAAAGTAATAACATCTCCATGGATCCAAGCAAGTAGCAGACTCTCTACGTCAGAAGTTACATAGTGTACCTTTTAGTTAAATGAACCTCGAATAATGACAGCTAATGTTTCAAACCTTAATACCAGTTGCTATTTTTAATCAAAAGATAATACAGGATATCAAATGTACTATAACTTTAGACTTTCTTTTTATACATTCAGAGAGCATCAAAATAATCTGCAGATTCACCACACACCTGTTTGACCATTAATTTTCAACATGATCTGGCTCTGGCTGTAGCCACACGGCAACTAGAGTGTATCTATATGTGTTTGCAGATCTCGTGGTACCTATAGATACCCTAATTATACTGACCTATTTCTTAAGCTGCAATACAATAGGAACATTCTTCACATTTGGATTTAGCTATTTTATAGTTAAAGGAGTACTATGTAACTTTTCTAGGGTTTGTCACCTGGATACAACAGGAATATACTTATTGGTAAACATTATGATTTAATGATTTAAAAGTTAAAAGTGTATTAACCTTTCTGGTGGGAGATTTGCTGTCTGCTTTTCCTTTGCTGGGGATTTATTCTATAGTACGTCATTAAACATGTCCTATTCATATACATAGGTTTCATTATTGCTCAAAAATAGCTTGAAAACATGCTACTGTGATTGGACTAGCCTCTGGAACGGAAGTTTCCAGGCAAAGCAATAACATCTCCATGGAGACAAATAGGAATGTCCAACCCAAGTTACATAGTGCATCTTTAATTATAAACAAGTTAGAAGTCCTAGAGGCAGCAATGTTTTATTTCAATCTAATTACTACAATGAAATAAATAAATAATAATAGTCTGATGTCATTTTAAGTGATTTCCCTTGTGAATCAATAAAGTTTAGGTCTAATCTATGATAAAGATGGTAACATCCTATGCATATGGCAATTCATAGTGCAAATATCAAATGAATATTATGATATATTAGCAAATTTTCCAACAATAAAGTGAAAAATGTCAACATCCCAATTTCTCAGTAATTTTAACACTCTAGTTTCACAAAATAACATACCAGCTGCAGGTGATGTGATCAGCCTTAGTGTTAATTATTGAGAAGCAGAAGTTAGAGGGAGAGAGGAGAGAAGAGAGGGGAGGACGGGGGGCATAGACTTGAAATACAGAAATAATTTTTAGGCACAAGCATTCGGGGAGGGAGCACACAACAGTGAAAATAAAACAGGTCAAACACACAAGAGTACAGCTCCAGTGTCAGTGCAGCGACTCACTTTGAACAGAGACATCTTGGCTGCCACACTCATCTTGGCCCTGTCATCTGTTTTAACATCACCTGAAAGAAGAACAGAAAACCATAAGTAATATATAATACATGTAAATAGTGACAGGACAAAATGCTGTATATTTTGAATCAGTCTTGGTCACCAGAATAAACACTGCATTTAAAACCAAATCCATAGAAATATCAAAACTGTATGTGCTCCTTTACGGAGACCAAACCAGACCAAGTTACAGATCAGATCTGTGAAGAGGCAACCCCACTCACAATCAGAATATCTGTTTTTCTAGGTATTTTTGAGCTATGAAATAATCTTTTACTGAATAGATGTAAGGTAGAACTGCTTAATGTCATACTGTGGAACATTCCAGGCAGAACAATGACATTGCCATAGAAACAAGCAGGTGACAGGAATAGAAAAAAGCATTGTGGCAAAATAAAATATTGTACATAATGAAATAAAACTACAAAATCTTATTATTAAAGGTGCACTATGTAACTTTTCGGTTGGGGGGTCTGTCACCTTCTTGTTTCTATGGAAGAAGGTCATTGCCCTGCTTCGAATGTTCCACAGTATGACATTAAACAGTTCTGTCTTAAACTGATTAATTTACAGGTGTTTTTTTTTCTCTCAAAAATACCTAGAAAAACAGGTGCTCTGACCGTGAGCAGGGTTGCCTCTCCACAGATCTGGTCAGTAATTAGGCCTGGTTCAGTTTTTATGATAATAGAAAATTTTAATGCCAAACTGCGAAACATTTCAGACAAAGCAATAACATCTCCAAGAAGAAAAGCATTTGACGAGCCATCCACCACAAATGTTAAACAATGCACAAGTTGACCAGCTCAACATTTACCATTTTTGCTTAAGATACAGATTTGCACATTAAACAGTATATAATAACAGTATATCACCCAAAGCTACTCCTTCATCATTATAACAAAAGCCTGGTACATATATACCTTGACCATTTTAGATGCATTGCAAGCTAATAAAACATTAATATTTTGATCTTTATCTGTGTTAAAAACAAAGAAGACAGTTCACCTTTGGAGTCCTCCTCTTCCACTTCATCCAGGATTCTGTAATAACACAAAAGCACAGCGTTGGTACCAGGTAAACATTTATGTAAATAGAGGGAGATGTTTGTTCTTGCTCTGGCCCACCTGTTTTAAATAATACAATATAATGTCTTTGTAAAGTAGATCATAAAACACTGCACACAACAGAGGATGTTAATGGGTGAGGCAAACACAACATGCAAACACAGCCACACCCTTGTTTAAGTATTAGTACAAAATGCAAACAAACAAGTAAGGCTGCAAAATATTGTATTAGAAACTGAATGTAATCTTGAAGTCACAGTATGTAACATTTTAGCCAAAAATAGAAAAAAATAAATGCAGGTTTCGTAAATTTTTTTGTAATTTTGGTTGCGTTTATTTCAAAAACTTGCATCCTTACTGAGTGGGCTTGCATCTCCACAAACCTGACTCTTATTTTGCCAGGAGGAGAGCCTTCATCTGCTTGTTTCCATGAAAATGTTGTACCTTTGGCCATAATCCTATACAGTATGGCATAAAACATGGAGAATGTTCTGAAGTATGGTTTTAACTTTATATTTAGCTTCTTTATTTTAACTTTTTCTGCTTCCATGGAATCATGTAGGTGATGCACCACCATAAGTTCCATACTGTACCTTTAACTAACTCAAAGTCTGATATTGCATTTCATTTCATTGATGTGTCAAGTCAGTTGGAGCTTCAATTCATGTATTCATAGCTTTTAATAATATGAGGCCAGAAAGAACAGGTACAATTATATAAGACTACCACCAAATGCACTAGCTGGGTGTCTTTTCCTTTGTGTAAATTAGGTTTTTGTAACAACAGTGACTTTATAAACATTGTATTTTGCAGCTGTGTTTATTTATGTTTTCAGGCAAATGATTCCTTCCTGATTTGAAGGACTTTGACAGGATCTTTCTTGCCTGGGATACACAGCACACACTTCTCTAAACAAACATGTGATAAGATGTGTTAAAAATACAAAGAGGTTTCATTCTGGACTTTCCCCATTCACAAGACATAATATTTTCATTTGAATGGCTTAATTGCTATGGCGACAGAGCATTTCTGCCATAGCGTGCCATTACGATAACTTTCATTTGATACTTTGCAGCTGATCATCAACATTCCCTGGGGCTGTGATGCTAACTGTAGGCTCCGCTCTGTCTGAAGCTCTGTTAGACTTTAATCTGAGCTTTATTTTAACACAGTCTGACCAGAAAGAGCTGACTTGGTTGGAACCACAACAGGTGAGTTATGAAATGAGCTATAGAAATACACCTCTAGCATGATGTCGCAGCAAATTATCAATGAAAAAACTAAAAAATGTCTTCTGAATTTCAGTTTCAGTTTTAGCACGGATATGTTACAACTCTGAGTATGACAAAGTTAAACATTATTATTCACTGCAAATAACACAATACAGTTTCCATATCTTCAGACCCACTGCACTCATCCATACCCACTGCTCTGCTCCCTCTCGTTGGCTGTGATTGGCTGCGTCCTGAACCGATCGCTGGTTTTTCGGGAGACAGAGGCTGACCCAGAGGGGAGGTAGCGCCGTGTGCGTCTCCGTGCCCCCTCTGAGCCCGGCCCAACAGCCAGGTCCAGAGAGGCAGAGGCAGCCACGGGACTACTGCTACATGAGAAGAACAATGGAGGAAATACACTGTGAATGGTATGACTGGGGGTAATATGTAATACAGTGCTCTACATGCGTATTGGCACCATTACATGAGTAAATAAGGTAGAGAAAATATCATTCCTTTAAAATTATGTATTAAACAAAATTGACTGCTGTAAGCTTAAAGTTATGTTATAATGCTGTTACTTCATCAAAAACATACCTGGAGCTGCTTTGTTTCATTCACACATGTTTGAGTAACCCTTTATTATTAGTCTGTTTGCATCTCTAAAGCTCAAAATGCTCTGTTCCAACATGTGATGTCATGAAGCGGTAGTTTCATGTTAACAGCTACATTTAAGCTTTATTCAGAAAAAATTGGCACTTGCAGGGCTGAAATGAACCAAATGATTCTAGTGAAGCTGGAAGGAGTTTAAAAACACAGAGGAGCACTTCCTGCAATACCTCATGACATCACAAGGTAGAGTATTTTCTGTGTGAGAAAAGAACTAAAGAAGAAGGCTAAATATGCAGGATTTGGGTGTTAATTGGTATTGAATGAAACAAAACACAACTCCATATATGTTTTTGATGAGGAAACAACATTATAAGAGATAAAAAAATAGAGTACGATGGGCCCTTTAAATGCAAATAAAAGTGAATACAAAACTATGGCAAAGGGGTTTGGCTCTCATTTGAAAGATCAATTCCCAACTAAGACAATCTGCTGCATGTGCCTCCCTATGTTTTACTCATTCCCATTGCACTCTGCTTAATGTCCTGGCTCATTAAGTTGACTGGTCAAATCTTTAAAAAACAACAATCACAACATTAGAAATGATCAAAAATAAATAATATTACAGTATTGTAAGGATAGTTCAAGTGATTTCTTATTTGAAATTGGTTCAGTTCAGTTCAGTCAAACTTTATATATTCTGACAAAGAAGTATAGCCTTATTTACTCCTACCCCTCACTTTTATTTCAACTTCTATGAAAACTGGATGCTTTCCAAATCAAAAGAGGGTTCAAATAGCCCAAAATCATGAATGGAGCGCTGAAGAAGTTGGTCAGTTTTAGGGCTCTGAAAGTGACCTACATCACCATAACTGAAATCAGAGGTGCCAATGAGAATGTAGGGCAGAGTAAACACAGAGGCTGGCATAGTTCAGGGTGCATGGGCGTACATGTGGTCAGGCTGCACTCCTGTCCCGCTCTGTTGGAGGAGGGCACTTCTCAGCTGCCCCACTGAGACTCTGGTGTGGAGCTGGGGGCCATCAGCCAAACCCTCCCCCTCTGCACCGTCCTGGGGCCTGGGGGGCACGAGGCAGGGGGCAGAGAGGAGAGGAACAGGCAATCACACAGAGATATAACACTAAATACAATGTAGTTTCTCTGGTAAAGTGTCATATAATTAATAAAAGAATATGTTAATAAAAAATAAGGAAAGACATAAGATTTTTGCATGATCCAAAGAATAAAAAGAAAGCCAAGAATGAGAAAAAATACATATGTATGTGTGGTAGTACAATGAAAACATGTATGGCTAAATATATTTGTAATTTTAGATATAATTGGTGACCTCAAGAAATAGTCAAAACAAAATTCTATTTTAAAAAACTGTCATCTAATTAAAGGTGTAATGTGTAACTTCTGATGGAGGGCATGCCACCATGGAGATGTTAATGCTCTTCCTTCAAAGGCTCCACAGCATGGCATCAAATGTATCTTCCAAGTATTTATTTACAGATGATCAAACATGCATTCTGACCATAGACTGTAAAAAAGTCAACTAAGTGAGTGTGATGTCACCCATAGCGTTCGGCTCCAGTCAAATGAAGCTCAGGATATTAGAGATTATATGAGCCATGTCCATATTATGAAAAGGAATTTATTTACAGACAAAATAATGAAAAAAAACAAACAAACACCAGGATCATGTAGAGCGGGTTAATACGAACATTTTAAGACCAAAATGACGAGTGACTGCAGTAGTAACAGAGAGAAGGTTAGTAAATGAGGCTGAATACAGATTCATTGGAAAACTATTATTATACCTAACTACTGTATAAATGATATTAATAAGTTGTATCCAGTGCTATGTACCCATAACCCAGGGCAACAAGAGTTAAACACCAAAACTGAAATGTGATACTTGAAGCTGCTAATGTTGGTGCAGTGGGAAAGTCACAGGTTTGTGCCAATGAAGCCAGGACGGTTCAGCCTAGATTTATAACCACGCGTCAGTCTGAATAGAAACAATAGTACATAACATGACTAGAAGAGCACGGCACCTGGCCCTGGCAAAGGCCACACATACACACATACACACATTCGCACACACATACGCACGCTTGCACACGCACGACCCACGCACATACACAGACACACCTGTTCAAAGCACATATGGGAAACGCTGCTTTAAATACACAGAGCATGGGGTAGGGGAGGGTTTTGATGACCCAATTGACCTAATAAAGTAACAAGAAGAAGCTGGGAGTGGATCTACAAAAAAAAAAAAAAAAAGCATTAACTCAGCATTAACTACAGATATGGGACAATAAAACAGTAAAAAGAATAAAGAATTGGCACCTAATCTTCTTATGCGACAGGTCGATGATTTTGTTTTGATAAAATGTGTTGTAGCTTGTAACGATTAAGATTTTATTTACAAACAAAACAGCCAAATAAAAACACCAGGAGCATGTAGAGAGGATTAATAATTAAGACTAAAATGAAAAGGCTCAGTGCAGCAGTTACAGAGAGAGGGGGGACACTTTTTCAATGTAAGGTCATTTGGGAACATGGAGCCAGAAGCGCCCCCGTGAACACTTCCTATATGGAACACAATGAGTAGTGGGTTAGCTATGTCCATTTTGCTTGATAAACTTTGCAACTTTACAACTGTTTTATGAAGGAAGTGTAATCTAAGTTTGGTTGTCTAGTTAAAATATTACATTTAAAATTGGATAATTTTTGCTAATTGTGTTCTATTATTATTATTCTGTCTCATCTTGTTCAAATCCACTCAACAATATCTCAAATGAATATTTTTTTTGCCAACTAATGTCACACAGCATACATCAAATAATATATTTGCAGCTGGTGCCATATTGGTTCTAACACATTTTTTTCTATGGCTTTTCACATTCCTTAAAGGTGCTTTTTTGGTGGAGAGTCCACTACCAATTAGTTTCCATAGAAATGATATTGCTTTCTCTGGAATATTCCATGGTATGACTTTAAACATTTCTATCTAGCATTCATTCATCACGGGCGTTTCTATTGTCTTGCCATTTCTATTGCCTTCAATTGCCTATTGCCTCTATTCCTTTGTTAGCAATATGTGGGCCCTAAGCGAACTTGAGTTTGGGGCCCTCACTATAATGCACCATTTTTGTTTGTTTGTTTGTTTGTTTTTTAAATATATATATTTATTGTCTGTTTTTCCCCATTGTTCTTGAGACAAGCACATCTCGGCTTATTTAAACTATGGTGGATTGGAGCCTACTAGATAACCAGAGCTGAAAGTAGTTTTATTTTTTGCAAGAACAATAACATTTTTGTTTACATCCATTACATATGATTATTATTATTTTCCTTATGATTATTGCTTGAAAATAAACTACTCTCATTTTATGTCATATTGAGAGAAAAATCTAATTGCTTTGAGGCCTTATCCATTAGTGACACTGAGGGCAATTGGTTTAGGGCCCCTCCAGGTTTGGGGGCCCTAGGCAACCACCTACTTTTGCCTAATGGTAGTGTTGCCTCTGTCAAAAATACAATAATTCCTCCTGTGAGAAGAGAGGACTCTCCACAGATCTGAACTGTAATGTAGTGTAGAGCTGTAACCTGCTTGTCTCCCTCCTGGTAAGTAGGTTTAATCTATATAGTGGAACATTGTAGACAAAGTAATAATATTTTCATGGAGACAAGCAGGTGGCGGACCCTCCACTAGAAATATTACACAGTGCACCTTTAATGGGACATTATTAATCAAAGTTCAATATGACCTAAAAACTGACTGGCAGTTAATGCTTGTTTCCTTTGGAGGTTGTGTTTGTTTACATTTTCAACTAGAACTAAAATGGCTGCAGGTGTCAAAAACTGAACTGAAAATGAACCTGTTTTTGCAAATTAATTCTTCAAGTGTATTATTATTATTGTTAGATATCATTTTGTTTTGAATTATTCACTGTATTATTTTAACCAGGATCACTCACCTTCTGTGGTAGCTGATCTCCTCTGGCTGTAGCCCGTTGGACACTGGTCTCGTCCTGCTGTGAAGTCTCTCTGTGAGCGCCGGGGCACTTTCTGAACTGACCATACCCCTGTTGCCGTCTTGCCCCTCCCTGCCCTCCCTGCCCCCTCTCCTCGTCCACTTCGTGGGCAGTTCCTCCACCACCCCATAGCGCTCGGCCAGCTCTCGCCTCCTTTCCGCTTTGTACCGAGCGATGCGTTCTGCTCGTGGCTCCAAAACCGGGTTCTCCATGGTCCGTCTGTCCCTCAGTGAGATTTCGATGGGCTTACCCAAAATATTTCCACAGCATTTAGAGTGAGGGTGATGGTGAGTGTCCAAAATCAGAAGGGGGAAATCCTACACTGGATCCCATAGGAGCAGTAAGAATCTTAGCTCATTTGTAGAGTTGGAGATTCTCCTGGAAAAAAGAAAAACTATGCATTAGGTATTGTAATAATTTTATTTTCATGTTTTTTAAAGGCCCTATACTACACTATTTTCTGATCTATGATATAATGTTGTTTCCTCATCACAAACATACCTGGAGTTTTGTTTTATTTACAGTTGTTTTCCCACACAAACTCTGCAAAAGGTTTTTCTCTCAAGCAGAAAACACTCTGTTTTTAAGACCCATACACCTACTCTAGAATCATTTGGATAATTTCAGCCCTGGATTTGTTGTACTGAACTTAAGATAAAAGGTACTTGAAACTTGAAAACTACTGCTTCATAACATCAGAGCATTTTGAACTATGGAGATGTAGATAAACTGATAATAAAGGATTTATCAAACATATGCGAATGAAACAAAACACAACTTCAAGTATGTTTCTGAGAAGGGAAGGACATTATAACATGACTAAAAGTTCACATGAATCACTTTTGCATAATATATGACCTTTAGGTTTTCAATTATTATAAGGCAAAGAGTACCATACGGTCATACAGAGTATTTATTAGTTTACTTAGATCATAAAATGCAAATGTCAGGTCCGTCAGGTCTTCTGTTTTTTAGTTACTCAGTCTATTTTACCCATGTCTCATAGAATTAGTCTATATTTTAGTTTAATACTGTATAGCCCTTCTCCAGACAGTCAAGGTCCCTAACAACTTGATGCAATTTTAATTCTCAGTCAGACCTCAGTGAAACAAACATTGTAAGAGATGCAGAGGACATTATGCTACTTAATAGTTGAAGTCTTTGCCAACTGAGTCTTCCAGAGGGACACAACAAAAGGATGAAATACCAGTAGCAGGATTTAGTTTAGTTTAGTTATTTGATTATCAGGGACAATGCACATAAAAATACTGACCTAAGAGAAAATACACCAACTTATTTGTTTATGTTACTTCTGTCATATGAGTAAAGTAAAATTACATCTGTTGCTTGTGGTATAATGTAAGTTGATCTGTGTTATTGGCAGTGCCACACTCTTCTTGTACTGAAACCAAACACCACACAAGCCTCAAGACTCTATGGCACCAGTGCCTACCTGCAGCCTATTCAAAACATATGAAAACTACTAGTACATGTTCAAAATATATTATAATATTTCCCTTGGGCCTGTTACCATTTATTTATGTGATTTAATATATGTTTTGCACTGGTTTAACTCTGGATTAGTATGTGTTTATCTTAAGTTTTGTTTCACATTTGTTGATTTATTTCACAACACGAAAAGTTGAAGAATCATGTTACTTCCTTTTATTCTACAGGTTAATATTGGTCAAATGTAGCTTATTTTATAAAGCAATCTAGGCAAAATGGAGAAATGAAATACATGTGGTACTTACAGTCATTTGGACATTTAAAGTCAACATTACTGTTTGTGAATTAGATGTGCAATGCCACACACAAATTTCCAAGCAACTACTTTGTGGTAGTGGTTTCCTACCTACAACAAGCAATGAAGTTTCCCATTACACGTCATTAAAGCACATGTCTAAACCACAGCTCACAGGTTGGTCAAAGTAGACAGGTCTCTCTCTCTCCCTCCCTCCCTTTCCCTCTCTCTGTCTTTCTCTGTCTCTCTCTCCCACTCTTCCTGTCTCTTTCTCCTTCTCTCTCTCTCTATTTCTCTTTCTCTCTCTTCCTCTGTCTCTTTTTCTCTCGCTGTCTCTTTCTCTTTTCCTTTCTCTCTGTCTTTCTCTCCCTCTCTCCATGTCTCTATCTCTCTCTCTTCCCCTCTCACTCTCCCTGTCTCTTTCCCCACCTCTCTCTGTCTCTCACCCTCTCTCTTTCTCTGTCCTCTCTCTCCCTTTCTTCTGTCTCTTTCTCTCTTTTCCTCTGTCTCTTTCTCTCACTCTGTCCCTCTTTCTCACTCTTCCTCTCTCCTTCTCTCTCTTCCTGTCTCTTTCTCTCTCTCACTCTGTCCCTCTTTCTTGCTCTGCCTCTCTCCTTCTCTCTCTTCCTCTGTCTCTTTCTCTTTCTCTCTGTCTGTCTCTCTCTTTGTCTCTTTCTCTCCCCCCTCTCCCAGTCTCTCTCTCCCTCTCCATATGTACAAACAGTGTGGTTGGTGTGTCTGCATACGTGTTTCCTAAAACTGTAGACCTCAGCACTCCCGATGCTTTCCCCCAAAAACAGGAAGCACAAAAGGGCTCCGAACAAAGAGGGGCGAGCCGTGGACTTATCCCAGCAGAGGAGACCCAACTACAGCCAAAAGGTTACATGCTACACTGTGAAAATGGGACTGCTATAGGCTTCAGATAACATTGAGATGGGGGGAATTTTGCAGGAAAGTTGTCCAAAAAAATCAATACCCAGAAACAAATCGATATTAAAACAAGTATTGATACAGGAAATGATAACATAAGAAGAAAAAACATGACCGTTCCTTAATGATTTGAGAAATAGTTATGATCTATCAGAACTAGTTTGAAACAACATGCATATTAAAGGTGCTATATTACACAAAATTTACTCTTGTAAGCTTTAAGCCATGTCTAAAAAGTTGTCTATAAAGTGTGTTTTATCAAAAACAGTGTCTAGTATCAAGCCATTTCCTGAGTATCGAAATCATGTATGAATTTTTAGTATGAACAGCATTTTGATACCTACTTACATCATTTTGAACTTGAATAAATAGGACATCAACTAAACTTGTGCACATAACTTATATTTGTGACGTTTTCTTGGTCTGTGGCTTTGGTTTTTGTTTGCAGAGCTACTGACCATTTCTGTTCACCCACACCCCAAAACTACAACAAAACCATCACTCAAACTGACAACCACGATTAGCAGGTGATAAATTCAGATGTGGAACTTTTTTCTCAGCATAAAAAAACAAAACAATTTAAATAAGCAAGTCAATCTGAATACTGAAGGCTGAATACATGAGTAAAACAAAACTCGCATAAACAACTCCAGAGCAATGATTCTCAAACTGCCTGCAGTGTAAAATATTGTATAATGTCTTCCTCTGCACAATGTTCATATCTGAAAACCAAGAGTAACCCAAGATCTAAACCAGATCCAAAGGGCGCTGTCATGATTCACCAGTCTGCACAGCTAAGGGACAGTCCCAGTGTTATTCCTGGCCTGTTTGCATTTCTGTGTGGAGTTTGCATGTTCTACCTGTGCCTGTTCTTCTTGTGTGTTGTATAGTCTTTTGCTTTTACTTTTCTTATTCATTTGAGTAAATCTACATCCCTGTCACTTTCTCTCGCACCCTTGAACATTGCATAGAAGCTAAGCAAACTAAAAAACAAAGCTGTGGTCTTCTCCAGCGGTAGAGTAACTAAAATCTACATTATGCCTTTTTTCTGGTTCTTAATATCGAACTGTAACTTCAATAGAAAAGCATTTAACATTTTGTTTATTGTAAACCGCAAGACTGATCTAAAGCAGCTTAATAACAGAAACGGGATGATTGATTTCATGCAGGATGTAAATGCAGCACAGTACAGGATTTCTCTAACAAGTATCTATAAAGAATTTAAGTTAAGGATAAGGGAAAAGCATAATTTTCTGGGGGTGTGATGCTAACTGAAAGCACAACTCTGATACTCAAATCAGACTTAAATTGAGTTTTATTTTTAACATAATCTGACTAGAAAGTGTAGATGTGGTTGGAATGTGTCTGTGTCTTTAACAAGTTTTTCCATCACTCTTTTGTTAAAATCAAACATCTAAACATGACCATAAACGCTCAAATTGACCACTGGCTCCTGAAAAAGTGCTGTTTAAATCAATAGTTTTTATTTTTTCAGACTATCTTAAAACTTTTTTATCTGTATTTGCTAATGTATGCATTATGTCACCATGGTAACTGTTGAACATTTGACCAAAAGAGATACACGTATATGTAGAAAACCCTCAGCATGATGTCACTGCAAAGTATCAATAAGTCCACACATTAAACTATTATATAATTTCAAGTATCGAGTACAGATTCTGTGTAGCCTGTGCACCACAGTTTGAGAACCACTGCACTGGTCGATTGTCAAATGGAGCGGACAATGTCACACAGGCTCAACTGGGATCACTGTCCACCAACTCTACAGGACTGTGGACTCAGGCTCCAGATAAAGAGGCGAGCTCCAGTCACCCTGTTCTCACTGCTCTAACATGCAAATACAACATGACAACATGGAAAAGAAGAGCCACAGATATTATTGCACTATTCAAATGTATGTAACAACTTCCTCTAACGTCGTAGGCACATTTTAATACCCAAGACTAAGATATACTTATTATAGCAAGGGTTCCTCTTTGTTTTAACATACTGATTTGTATGGTAAACTAGCAAAGGATTATTAAACCTAGATGTCCTTCCTGGTGTAGTCATTTATAAAAAAGACTTGACATGGACTTGAGAATAGGTCCACTTTGGAGATTTTGTATTTGATAAATCTGTCAAAAATACCCACCATATTCTGTGATTCACTGTTTGCTTATAACATGGTAACATATTGTGAAATTAGGGATGTAACAATAACCGAAATATTGTGATATCGTATCGTCAAAGTTCTCACAATAACATCGTGGACCATCACAATATATCGAATTACAAGTCTCTTTGCCTAAAATTAAGAATTATGGTGCAGCAATAGCTAAAAAATGACAGAGAGAACTACATTCAGTGCAGACTACAAGAAGAAATAACAGTTCTAAGCAGTTTGGATTAAGTCTTGTCAAGGAATTTTAAGAGGAAAAAAGTAGCATATTAACAGTTTTGTTAGCCTCCACAAAATATCGCAATAAATATAGTATCGTGAGGCTTTTGATTTCGGTACACCCCATGTGAAGTTATAATGACCTTATTTGTATTTCTTTTAGTTCTTCTAGTTTATATGTCAAAATGTGTTTATACATTCAGCTATGCTTAATTATGCATCACATTATGGGTGGGAACGTATGCTCAAATTTCTTCTCTCAGGACTGAAAACACTCTGTCCTCCTTTTATGGTCATGTGCTCCACTGTGTTTTTAAACTCCATAAACCTTCACTAGAATCATTCGGATAATTTCAGCCCTGGAATTGCCAATATCTACTAAACAAAATGGAAAAGGTAGCTGTTAACATGAAAACTACAGCTAGATGATAGAGCCTTTTGAGCTTTGGTGATGTAGACAGACTAATAACAAAGAATTACTCAAACATGTGTGAATGAAATGAAACACAACTCCAGGTATGTTTTTGAGATGGTAACATATACCACGGCTTATAATTCACAAGAGTCAGGACCTTTAAACACACCTTGCACGTTTGAGGATAAAATTTGTGCAGTAAAATCACAAAGACATCATACAGTTATAACCTTTTGTCCAAGAGCGGTGCTGTAAACCCAATTAACTGTCTAGCCAAGAATACGCCTGTTTCCAATTACACCTGTGCAGACTGAGCTACTTGCCCCAGAGCCCCCCACAGAGCAGCACGAACCCCCAAGGACAAATACACCAAAGCCTGTTATTCACACTGTGTACCAAAGGAAACACGTGGCATTAAAATGGACGTAGTTTGCATAGCCCAAAGTCAAAGCTTAAGTAGTACAATTCTCCACACTGTTATCACTACATTACAGACAAGTAGCTGAGAGGCAAGAGCTGCTTTGTGTTCAACATAATATGGTGGTAATAATAATCAGATACTATCACCAAACATTAGGAAGAAAAAATAATACTGGCTTTAATAAATACACCCACAAACAAAAGGAAAATGCATTCAGTTATTGCATGCAGACTACCTACTGTGTATTTTAGCATAGAGCAGGGCAGGTTAAAGGTTTTGGGAATATGCAAGCAGTCATATGGTAGCAACTATTTGAACTTTTTTGTATATATAGTCCTAGTTGTTACATATGGAGTAATGAAAAGATTTGTAAAAGGATAAATTTTGTTCATCTCTTGTTAAAGGTCCTATATTACGCTAAATTGAGTCATGTGAGCTTTATGCCACGTTATAATACCTCGATCAAAACATATCTGGAGTTGTGTTTTGTTTCAGTCACACATGTTTGAGTAAGTTTTTATTATTAGTCTGTCTACATCTCCAAAGCTCAAAATGTTCTGTTCCACATTGTGATGTCATGAAACGTTTTGTTCAGAAGCGTTTGGCAATTCCAGGGCTATAATTATCCAAATGATTCTAGTGAAGGTGTATGGAGTTTAAAAACACAGTAGAGCACTTCCTGTATTACCACATGACATCACAAGGTGGAACAGAAAATCTGCACTTTGGAGATGTAGACAGACTAATAATAAAGATTTACTTACACGTGTGTGTGTGTGAATGAAACAAAACATAACTCTAGGTATGTTTGTGATGAGGAAACAACATTATAACATAGATCAGAAAACAGCACAATACGGGGCTTTTAGAGAAATAAATTAGGCCTGTTACATTAAATTTCACACAGTACGGCAACGATTACAAAAGTAGAAATATGTCGTTTACGTCCGTGCGTAATAGCGCGTAAAAGTCCCAAAATTCAAGGCTTCATTTGTTTCAAGTTTGACGGTCATTTTGCTGAAAGAACCACTAAAACCATCGTCCTGTACCGAATGAAAGAACGGTAACCGAAATGGGACACCTGTTACGCACCGTAGCTCGATACAACTTTATATACGACAAACCAATAAACATAACCAACATATATTTAAACTATATTAAGCCAAAGTACTTACGGTACGTGCTCCGAGTCCGAGTGGGTCTGAGCGAGCCCTCCCCACTGTCCCCCTCCACGCGCTGTCAGTCCAAATGTAGTCACTGGAGATAGAGACACGAGCGCAGCTGTGCACCGCGCTCCGGTTTAGGGGCCTGGGGTATTAATAGACGGACAAACGGCTCAAATGTGGAGGAGAGCTTCACACATTGCTGTTAGAACGGAGCTTTGACTGTAGAGGGAGGAATAGTGTTGATACATGTTTTACAGTTGAGTTAGAATAAATTACAGGAAAAAACATGATAAAAGTTAAGTGTAATAAGTTGTGGTTTATAAACTAGAGCTGTTTCAAAACCCTTTAGGCGTTTAAGTTATAAGCGTTTGGAATTACAATTTTATCCAATACTTTCTGTCAGCACTTATTGCGTTAAATTTGTCAGTGTTATTTTTTTATCACATCACACAATCACAACATTTTCCGGAAGTCTGAAAAACTACAGATCCACACTCAGTACTGCAAATATTTCAATATCTATATGCTGCCCTCGTGTGGTTGAACTGTAAAATGGCAGTTTTAGAATAATGCAATTAAAAGTTTGTAATTTTATCAGTGTAACGTTTTTGAAAAGATGTATATTATTTAAAAAGATTGAAGACAAATTTTGCATATATTTATTTTGTACCCTGGACACTGTAACTGATTTAGAAAAAACTACACTGCGTTTTAAAGCAAACATAAATACAGGTGCTTCGTTTCAACACACCATAAATACTTTATAAAGAAAAAAAAAAACAGATAATCTTCAAGTACTTATTTGTGCAAGTGTAGAATATATGTAAACAAGGAACACCAAAATCTTCTACACCTTTAAAGGGTCAGTCCAGCAAATTAAGAACTTTCTGTTTTAGCAGCAACATAGTTTAGTTTCCTGTGTCGTGATGTTCACAGGTGTAACTTAGTGTTCATGATGTGAACATTTCAGAGCTTCAGGATTCACAGCTTATTCTGATCAAATAAAATCTTCAATGTTTCATGAAGAAAGGATGAGCCAGAGCTTTGGCTGCAGAGGTACGGCTGCTGGGTTTGAACTCCAGACACTGCTGCAAGTGAAAACAGAGCATCACAAACTTAATTTATCTGGTGATGATTTTTAGGGTTGAAATTCATGATTATTTAAAGTAGTCCACTAGCTAAATACTCATTTTTCAACTAGTCAAACAGTTCTACACTGAAACTTTCAAAACACATCATCAACCAAATAACAGCTGAGATATGGTGACAGAAGGATTTTGATTTCAAGTTTGATCAAATCAAAGGTTCTCACAGAGAGGAGGTCGCTCTCGTCTGGACCCAGGTTGCTCAGTAGTTTGGTGCAGGAACTCGCGGTGCTCAGTGACTGGTACGAGAGGGGACTGTCTTTAGGCCAGTCCTCCTGACTGGGGAAACCAATCACCCTAATACAAAATAGAAAAGGTGTTATGAGTCCACACAACAGAACAAAGGCACCTTTGTTATTAGACAATAATATCATAATAAAGCATAGTTTGCAAAAAAGGACAACTTACTCAAATATTTTCTGGAGCTGTTGAACTTCAGTGTATCCTCGAAACAGTGGTCTGTAAATGAGTTATTCATAACATAGATATGCAGGGTTTTGTCACATCATGGATCAAATTCAATCAGAGAAAGTTTTTACCTCAGGAGGAAGAGCTCAGCGAAGATGCATCCGGCGCTCCAGATGTCGACTGAAGACATGTACACAGAGTTCAGTAACACCTCCGGGGCTCGGTACCACAGAGTCACCACCTACAAACAGACAAGAATACACATCCAGTCTGCTCTGCTAATAATGTATTGTATTATGTTTTAAGGTCAGGTATGTTTTATTGATCCCTTAAGAGAGAAATTCATTCTGTGCATTTGAAGCACCCTACCTTAAATAAGCAGTATTTAAAAGGACAAGTCTCATATTTGCCTAAACCCCTGTCCTGTGTTTCTTACTCCAGGTGTGAGAGCGATGTTGAAAGTGTAGAGTCGTGCCAGTCCGAAGTCTGTGATCTTCACGTCTCCTCGGTTGCTGATCAGAATATTCTCTGGCTTCAGGTCTCGGTGGAGGACCATGTTTGTGTGCAAAAAGTCCAGGCCCTGAAGCAGCTGCTGCATCACACTCTGCACACAAGAAAAAGTAACTTCAGAAGCAGTCTAGTAAATACTGATTAAGTAATATAAAATTAGGGTTAAGACTGTATACATTCTGTGGATTAAACTAGTGTGAGTAAACTTTATACATAATAGGCCCAAGGCAGAATGTTTAGTATTAAGCAAAAAAATGAAAGGTGAAATCTGGGATTGAGCAGCAGTATGACGTCTTGAATATAAGTGATTAAAGATTCCTCAAACATGCACAGACCACTCCAAGTAGAACTTCAAAAGGGAAAATGAGAAGGGGAAACAACTGGTTAAAAGTTGATTTTGCATAATAGACCTGCTTTAAACATTATCTCACTTTTTTTGTATTGTAAGTGTATGTTAGGTTGTGTGCATTTTTTTCCATGTTTAGACCTTGATGCAGTCCAAGCTGAGACCAGTGGGCGGGGCTTTGGAGAGGTAGGAGGAGAGGTCCTGGTCAATGTACTCCAGAATCAGAGTGAGGCTCATACTGCGGCCCTCAGGAACTGCAGAGGCATCAAGCAGTCTGTGGAGAGCAGGAGAGAGGAGACAGAGTTTAGAAACAAGTCTATGGATCCAACAGGACTCTGACTGCACACAGACAGGAGTTAACTAATACATCTAATCTACATCACAGTATTATTAAACCCATTGTATTATTTATAAACTTATAAAAATACACAGTATAAAGAGAGGAAGTGTTGCAATTGTTTTATGTGGAAGCAGTTTGCCCTTTTATAGAAACTGTTTTCTGAACATTTATCATTCTGAACAAGTTTTAATATGAGCAATGTGATATTTTATTCAACCTTCATATAAATAATTTTAAACACAAAATAGAAAAAGATCAAATGGAACTGAAAAAAACTGAAACTAAACTAGGAAACTTAGTATTGCATGCAATCAATTATGTTTTACTGCTTAAAAAAATAAATGCTGTTGGTGAGGGAGCTTGCCTCTTTACAGATGTGACCTGTAATTTGGCCAGGTGGCGTCACCTGTTCATCTCCGTGGAGATAGGCAGTTCCAGAAAAGATACATGGTGCATATGAGAAATTATCGTGTAAAATTCATAAAAATATGAATCATAAATTGTGCTGATTAATTTTACAAAGACCTTAACTCACTTGACAACATTTGGATGGTTGAAGAACTTAATTTTAAGCAGCAGCGCCACCTCGCGGATCATAAAGGCAGGGATGCCATTGTCTGCGGAGCCTGGGTGGATGTTGAGTTTCTTGACCGCGAGGAGGCGCTGTTGTCCGCCCACCTCTCGGGCTTTGTAGACCTTTCCATAGGCACCTTCTCCGACCTCAGCGAGGAGCTCATAGCACAGCGGCGCCGTGCTAAGGTCCATACTGCTGCAGGTTTAGGAGTTCACCTGAAAGTACGAGAATGATTTAACGTACAAATAAAAACACATTAATTCAGCAAAAAATTAAGAAAACACCATGTTTTTCAGAGTAATTATGGATGTTTAAATAATTTGCAAGTTCAAATAAAAGAAATGCATGAATAAAAATTAATTATGCATGATTTCTTATATAAAGAAACAAGTATTTAAAATGCATGCACGTGTGGTTGATTTAAGTAAGCGACTTATGAGGATGCATGTCCTGTAAGCTAGCACTTTTATCAGCTGTCACATTGCAAAAACTACAAAATCAGTTACCTTCTTTTAAGTTTCTTGCAAAAATATATTAAACTTTCTAGATTAGCAAATTCAGACTTACCTTTAGGAGCTGGGTGCTGCTCTCCTCCATACTCGTGGGAAAAATCAGGCAAAGTGCACTACATGTAACATGTCCATCACATTTATGAGAAAATCACTCCCACTTTATGCCCCAACTAATCAGAACGCTCTCAAGTTGCCTGTTGGTCGCTAAGGCACGTGGTCTGGACAAAAGAGGGGCACGAGTGGCTGTTGATGTTAATGCCAATAAACAAACTTAATAAATTAAACAAAAGTAATGATAATAAGTGAAATCTGTCATAAATATATAAAGAGACGTTTTCTATGCATTAAAATACAATATATACAGGGCATTTGAGGTCATTAAAGGGTCCATATTATGTTATTTTTTGGTCATTCTATATAAACACAATGTTCCACCTTGTGATGTCATATGGTAATACAGGAAATGCTCCAAAGTGTTTTTGAATTCCATACACCTTCACTAGAATCATTTGGATAATTTCAGCCCTGAAACTGCCAATTTTTACTAAACAAAAAGTAAAAGGCAGCTGTTAACTTGGAATGGAGCATTTTAAGCTTTGGAAATATAGACTAATAATAAAGGATTACTCAAACATGTGTGAATGAAACAAAACAACTCCAGGTATGTTTTTGAGCTGGTAACATTATAACATGGCTTAAAAGCTCACTATAGAGAGACAATTTTGCGCAATATAGGACTTTTAATTTAACATTCAGAAGAGTTACCATATTTTTTTTATCCAAAATTACAAAACACACACAAAAAATCTGAATAACAGTTCAAATGTTTGATATATGAGGCTACACAGTCATCAGGCACAAATGTTTAGTTTGTATTATTGCACGTTCAAGTAAAAAAAGGTTGTCCTGTCTCTTAACCAATTCTTCATTCTGCATAAATTATGTTACTAAATAAGGAGGGTTTTTTGCTTACAACAATGTTCTAATGCATAGAGTATTTAAAAGTGCTATATAAAACTGTTACGATCAGTTAAACTACAAAACATGAGCTTATCTTCAGTGTTCAGTTAAATGGTCACAGTAAGAAGAGCTACTAGTAGTTTTTTCTCCCAGATTATTCAGTTGTGTTAGTGTCAATGCATTATGATCAGTCACTTTCAATAGCATGTATTTCAGAACATTTTGTAGAGGTGGTCTTGTTTAAACTACAGGGTTGGTGGGTTACACAAAGATTACAGAAGGGAGACACAGTACATTGCAATAAAAGTTAGAATTTGCAATCTGAAGCATAGAAATCATAACAGAACATCCTCTGAAAACAAAAGAACTTGTGGCTTTTTAGAACAGTTTTACAATATAGTCTGAGTATGGGATTTCTTGTAAGAGTTCATATGAGCAATTAGAAATTCATATTTTTGTCTCAGTTTAAAATGTGCATTGTGAACTGAATCCAGATTTGAAAACATAAATTGCAATCATGAAAAAAATGTGTTGGATTTGATTCCATGGAGATGTATTATTTTGGTCTCTGCAAAAATTATACCAAGACAAGTGCACTTCTTTATACAGTCTATAGTGCTGCCAGGGAAAACATCAAACTTTGTGCTAGTTTTTGTTTCATGTGGACAGGCCCGGTAATTACAGAAACATTAACCATAAACCAGGTCAATAAATTTGCAATTTGAGTTAAACAGCAAATTCCACCATATAACTCTGACCTGCTCCTGCTCAGCGTTAAACTCCTGAGACAGAAATATTGTGTTATCACATAATCCGTGTATAATTCGTTCATTCGTTTTTCAAAATAAAACCAAAAATAAAAAACGAAAAAAATCTTTTCATCATTATTTGTCTCTAAAACCAAAATGAAAAAAATGGATAATGATTTTGTTTTTGTTTTTTTCGTTTTCGATTGTGTTTACAAAAATATAAAACTGAAGTAATTAAAGGGTCCATATTACGTTATTTTCTGATCTAAACCTGGTCCTGGTTTAGACCTGGTTTAGTCTTAGTCCAGTCCTGGTTCAGTCCTGGTTCAGTCCTGGTTTAGTCCTGGTTTAGTCCATGTGTGTCTGGCATCACAGTTTAAGTCATCTTGGTTTTGGAGACAATAATGTTTTTTTTGTTTTCTTATTTTTGGTTTTATTTTGAAAAATGGATGAATGAATGATGAACAGATTTCACATGAACCTATCCATTCTGTTTATTTGGTGTTTTAATTAAATTTGGATTATTTATTCAGTTCTAGAAATTAGTCCCCCTTCTGTTTAATTAGTTTGGTTTTCTTTGCCAGAGCGACGGTGTCCAGGTGCAGGTTTCGTTTGAGGATGACGGAGCCACAGGTGAGAGCTCCAGCCAGAGCTCCAGCAAAACCACACAGAAACACATCCTGACCTGGAACACAGAGAAGTAAACATGAGCCTCACTATGAACCAACCCAATACAATGAAATATTTGACTAAAACTAAGACTAAAATCAGAGAAATCCATCTATTAGATATGAGTGGATGTCCACCTACTGAATTTTGAGATGTTTTTCTCATCATTTATGCATTCACCTGCATTTAACGCATACGGGTAAGACATATCCCCCTCACTAATGTTAATTTAGCATCATAACTTATTTTATTACACAGCAATAAACTGTCGAAGTGCGCTGACAACAGCACTAGCTAACGTTGCAACTTCATTAACCCTAGATCCATGTGTAAACCACACATACAGCGGCATTTACTGCACTCAGGCTGCGCACGCATCCACTGTGTTGATTAGCAAATAATCCATTCATATATTAGCCGCATCGTTGTATAAGACACTGGGTTCAAAGTGTCAGAAAAAAGTAGCGGCTTACAGTCCGAAAAATTACGGTACTAAAAAATACTCCAGACGAGTATCCCAGCTTTAATCAGAGCATAAATTCAATAATTTAAAAAATTGGTTCTCTCCACACATGTACCTGTCAGATAGAGATTCTTGAGCGGTGTTTGTGGGCGGATGGTGGCGTTGAGTTCAGGGCTGAAGCGTTCCCTCCCGTGGTCTGCTCCGTAGATCTCACCTTTGGGAGCCCCGATGTAGTGAGTGTTTGTGATGGGCGTGCCAGCGTCAACATACTCAATCTAATCAGAGACACAAAAATATCTTAAGAATTCTAACATAACACAAACAGAATAATAATGAAATGTTTACATGTTATTTTTGTTACATTATGAGTATTGGAGAAATGAGGGAGTACATATAATATTACCAGGGGAATCAAAAATTGGGGACAAAATAGTGTATTGTCCCAGCACCCATGGTTTTAGGCCCCCACAACTGGAACCTCTTCTTATTTATTTATATTAGAGGGGGTGCCCATGTGAGGTTTCTGGCCCCGGGTCCCCAAATTTCTGTTGAGGGACCTGAATATTACTATAAAAATGCAAAGGTACTCTCTATTGCCACTGTAGGGAAAATTGTCTTCAGTAATCTGTCCTTTAAAACCGCTATAAAATCTATATAATAACTTGAGATAAGATAAACCATTTGACTTGTAATGCTAAATACAGTCTATACGTTACGATACGTTACATTACCCGGTCTCTGGTGATTTTGGGGAACACGTCCATCACCATCTCCAGGACAGAGTCGATAAAGGCCTGCTTTAACTCTTTGTACTCTGGAGCTCTGTTTGTCACTTTTCCGTCCTTCCATTCCTCAAACCATGAGTAGTTGGCAAAGCTGACCAGGCTCACTGTGGACTTTCCTGTCAAAAAAAAGTTAATTTGAATTTTGCTACATTCAAATCAAAGTGATTATCCAGTATTGCATTCCATTAAGGGTGGGTGATATGACCAAACTAAATTGAATAGTTATCCATCTCCGTGCTTTTCTATTTAATGCAGTTTTAAAGGTGCACTACGCAACATTTCTAGTGGAACGCACACCCACTGCTTGTTGCTATGGAGGTGTTATTGCTTTGTCTGGAATGTTTTACCATAGTGATTCTCAAAGTGGGGTCCGCAGCCCCCTGGCAGGCCTCAGAGGGACTGTAGGGGGTCCCTAAAGGTTATCCACACAACAAGCAGAAAAGAAAATTTTGTTTAAAATTACATTTACATAATTAATTTGCTTCATTTACCTCTTTAAATCAGTATTGAGCCCATAGAAATTATGATACACTTTTAACATGTAACTTTCAAAGGAAAATATTACATATTGTTTAGTATGCATTGTTGTATATATTCAATTATAATTGAATATATACAACGTATATGTATTTAATGCCATACTAAGTAACATTCTAGGGAAAGCAGTAACATCTCCATGAAGATAAGCAGATAGCAGTTTTCTTTTAAGCTAAACAGACACGTCATCTACTGTTCTTCACCAATAAACCTTGGTGGCATTTGGCACCAAAAGAGCATAAGAAAAAACCAATAAAGTTACTTAAACTTGCTGAAAACAACACTACCTTGTAATTTAGGTCAAGAGAAAATTATTCTGAAATTAATTTTTGAAATTTTGCACACCCATATTTCCCTGCATTCTTGCATAAGAATACACAAGTCACAAGTGGAAAACACAACAATTACATATAAAGTTAAAATACTACCAGTTTCTCACAACTTGGACTGGTAGTGTACTGCAGTAACAAAAAGTATTTCAAACATAAATAAACAAACAGAAGCATAAAATCTTAAAATGTGTGTTTAATCTTACCTGGATTTTCTTTCTGCCAGATTGGGTCTTTGGCCGAGGGAGATGCCACAAACAGTAGAGGCACGTTTTTAGCAGATTCCTCCTTGTCACCGTTCATATATTCCTCCACACTGAGAATTAAAAAATTAAAAACATCTGTATTAAATCTTGTTACCAGAGTAGGAAAAAAAAAAAAACAGAGTTAAAATTGAAAATTGTCAAAATAGCAATAAAGTTATCATGAGATTGACCTACTTTTTTGTGCTCAGTTTTCATACATATTTCAACAGATAGTGGCACAGGGTATCCTTTATTTGAATAACTGTTTTTCTTATAATTCAAAGGTAAAATATTTGTTACTGTCAATCATTTATATTTGTAATCCATTTTTGAACAGTATTGTTACTTTTATATATTAAGGAGGTAATGGGCTCCTCTTACTAAAAAGTGAACATAAAAGATATCTGCTAAAAATCACATAAAACATACAGCTCGTCAAAGTTGTTTTCTTTGAAGATCCAGTAGTTGTCTGCTTTAAGGCCGAGCTCCTCCTTCGACCCCTCCAGCCCCACAAAAACACTCAGGCCTCCGTCTCCGTTCTTCATCATACTCAGCTGCTTCTGGATCGCTGTGGGACAGAGGAGAATAATCATCAGACATGGCAACATTACAAATAGTGAAGTTTAGTATGGACCTATAACATGTGTGATGGGAATTTATATTGTGGAAAGATTTCTCTCAATCTATCTTTGTGTAAATGAATGTGATTTCTTCCTGAGATCCAGACCAGTCATTAGCATGTGTAAAGACTCAGCAGCCACTGTCTCCACCCTCAGGAAGCCCTTTGTTGTACTACCTGTCCTCAAATGGAAGTTAAGGTGATTAGCACAAGCCACTCTGCTTTGAAATGTATGTAACTTGTATTTCTGTATAAATACAAGATGCTCTGGGGGGAGATGGGGCAGGAGACTTGGGAGACGTGACTGGCGAGAGGATACTTGCAAAAGGCCATTGGTGTCTGGCCAGGGCAGGCCTAGGCCCTGTCCATATCTGAATAAACCTTTGTCTGTCCAAAAACTCACCAGGCTTCGCAACTGGATTATTTTTTTTATCATATATCCTAGAGATATATGTATAATTTTTCCACAACAACATACATAGATCATTATTTTACATGTTGGTACTATTAGTCTAAAACACCAAATACTTCTTTTTATTTAAAAAAAAGTGATATTTATGAACCATATATGTAAGCCCTAATGTCTGAATTTTTGAATCATGCAACAAAGAACAGAGATGGAGAAGTAAGTGAAGATGGCAATTTTCTGAACTCTACAGTATTGAATGCACTGTATCTAAACACTTGTAAGTTGTTTCTTGCAAAGCAATTAACATAAAGTGAAAACATGATTAGGACCTGGCATGGCCTGCAGCTCCTTGGGTAGAAGTTTCTGGTAGGTGTTAAAGATCCCAGCGTCAGAGATGACAATCGGAGCGCGGATATGGACCTCCTCCTGACCCTTCATCACACTCACACCTGAGAGAGGAAATATACAGTACAAATCTGCTATACACAAACATACAAGAGCAGTACCGTATTTTTTGGACTATAAGTCACACTTCATTCATGGTTTGGTGGTCCTGCGATTTATACTCCGGTGCGACTTATATATTAAAATTTTCAGACTGACAGCAGCAAGAGGGTGCTCTAGGTTTATGTGTCAGTTTTCTGCGCATGTCGCCAGCAGAAAAAGCCACTGTCCTGCCGCAAGTACTGAAATATGGAGCAGAAAATGGTAATCGAGCAGCAGAAAGAAAGTTTGGAGTGAGCGAGAAACTTGTGAGGGACTGGCAGAAAGCAGGAATGGAGAACACAGCTTCACTTTCCCACTAACATTCCTAGCATCCTAATTATTCATTCCAAGACTAAATCATTTTAGACCTGGTTTAGTTCTCGTTTAGTCCTGATTGTGTTAATAGAGATTACACCCAGAATTTTGTATCGATTTAGTCCAAATGTTCTTCTTTTGTTTTAGGCCTAGTTTTAGCCTCCCACTCTTAATATTGAGCTGATTTTTGAGAACCATTGAACTACTAGGCAAGAAACTCACCAATAGCTTCATTTTCACTGTTGAACAGAATTCGGTTGACTGGAGCACGGACTAAAACAGCTCCCCCCGCCTTCTCGATGATGGGGATCATGTGGTAGGCGATCTCAGTGGCGCCCCCTTTTGGATACCACGCACCGTTCAGATAGTGGGTGACCAGCAGACTGTGCATGGAGAAACTGGCATCCTTTGGAATGTTTCCTAAAGAGGGAAAAATATAGTATTACATGTATAGCTGTATTTTATAAAGGTCAAAACGTAAAAGACATTTCAGAGTGAAAAATGTGAGTGTTTTAATAAAATAAACATAACAAAAAATAACAAAACTCATTGATTAGATTGAGTGTTTTTGAAGGGGCACTAAAAAAGTAATCTATAAATTAAAAATGACAGGACATTTACCTCTGACTGAAACAGAAGATTAGAAAGTTTGAATCAAAGTCTGCAGACTGTATCTTGAATCAAATTAATAATCAATACACAGATATACAAAACAGATACTAAAACTACTTTTTAAACTAGATGATGATTTGAACTTGTACTGTATATATAGTATACTCTAGGTGAAAAATACATAAATTAAACTTTTCCTGAATAGTTTTATGTTTTAGTTTTATAAAACCACATACTAATCATACTTGAATATTGGTTATATTGTATGTTGTTAATCATCATTGGGCTGTCAAAATTAGTATTGAGTATGAATCCATTTCTTTAACAGTAGTTTGAAATTGTAGTACTATCACAACACCAGTATCTTACCATAGTGCCTTGGAGGAGGTCTATACTGTTTTTGTAACTGTTTTTGTTTAAGATTCTGTAGACTGTAAGCATATGTTTAATTTTATTTATTCTGCAAGAAAATGTTAAAAGCGCCTATGAGAGGTTGGACAACACTTTTCACCAAAACACAGTTCAGATCATCATATTTAAGATTTTACAAAAGGTTTTACTTGTCTTTTCCCAATTTGGCTTTTTTTTTTTAGGTTTAAAATTTTACTTCCTGGCTGGAAATTGTGACATCACACTAGGGAATTTCATAACCTTTACCCAGCAACCATAATGTAATTGGGCCAAAACTGCTCTAAAGTACACAGAAATTATAATTTGATGAATAAAAAGCAAAAGAAAACACCTTTATTTTGTTGAAATAATGTTTAAAGTAACTGAAAAAATTGATTCTTGAGTGTAAATTGTGCTGAACTTTTGGATAAAATTCTCTTCCTAGTGTGGTGACATGATAAGCAACATGTTTAGAAATCTTTATTTCCAGTAATTTTCCAACATATTTTTAAACTTTTCTTCGCAAATTGCTTCTTGATTTGTGTAACTCTATCATTTATATTTACAACAGGTTTTATCACACCAAATTAAGTAGAAATTAGAGAATCATAAAAATCTGTCATACGCATTTTAACCAGGTTAGACTGACGGACTAAGACTGTTTTCTTTCAGGTTCTTGCTCTGCAGTAGACGTTAACACTGGGAGCTGCTGGTCTGATTCAGTTGTGTGTTGACAGTTGGCAGTTACGCCGTTGGGGTGGGGGAACAGTTGTTTTTATCTGAAAATAAACCTGATGACCATACTGAGGGGAGTCCAAAAGAAATGAACTGACCTAACCAGTGAGTCAGTCTGCACCAAAATAATTATAGTATATTGCCTAGTATGAATGCAGTGTGTGTGTCAGTGGTGGTGGTGCAGATTGGCAGCCTTATTTTTGTCATTGTTCCCCAGTGCAGCTATAGCTACAATAACGTACCACCACCACTGAATGAGGAGTGTATTATTATTATTAAAGGGCTCATATTATGCTATTCCATGATTTCATGAGTCAATTTAGCATAATATAGGACCTTTAAAATCTGGGGCTCATTTCACAGTCATACCATAAGTGCCAAAGATGTAGGTGAAAACAGCTCTGAGGTCTTTGTTTTCAGTCAATCCGTTCACTACTTCAGTCAGGCTGCGGTCGGCCATTTCAAAGAAGAAGGAGAGGCGTCTGCAGAGGCCAGTGTAGACCAGGAACTTGGCAATGGGACTGGGGAGGAGTTTCAAAAGAGCCAATACCCAGATGCCCTTTCCAGCTTTCTATTATGGACACAAATTATACACATATATTAATGAAAATGTTACTGGAAATGTTTGTGGAATTAATACAGGAATATGCAACAATGCGCATAATTTGTTTATAACATATTAAGGTGCACTGTTGAACTTTTCTGGGGTATATCTGCCACTTGCTGGTCTCCATGGAAATATAATGGGTTTGCATATTCCACAGTATGGCATTAAAAATGTTATCTGACCATCAATGAGTACAGAGAAATAAAATTATGATAAATTACTTTATTTATCAGCCTTATTACTGAGTAGTTAAATAATATATGGATATTGTAAACACTGAACACGGAACAATTTTAAGGGAGCAAAAATCTTTATGAGAGGTGAACAGTTGGATCACTAGTGACCTCTGCTGTCTTACACCTCACCAAAAGGCAAGTCTAAGCAAGTTATATAATCCTGATAATAACAGGCAATTATTAAAATTAAAATAAATAAAAATAGTCATTGAATGAGGAAGTTCACATTAGTGGGAAATGTAAATTATTACAGCGGAAGAATGATCGTCAGCTTCAGTGAAACCACAGGATAGAGCTATTTTTGAAGCACACACGTGTGTGTGTGTGTGTGTGTGTGTGTGTGTGTGTGTGTGTGTGTGTGTGAGTTAAGGAGGTCTCCATTGAGATATTATTGTTTTGTTCCACAATAGGGCATTAAACTAATTAATATTAGTGACAACAAGCAGATGGTGCCACTTTAACTTGAAGATTTTTTTTGTAATATAAACACCCATAATTGAATAAATACAAATGCATACATTTAATGCCATACTGTGGAACATTAGCAGAGACAAGCAGTTGGCACACCCTCACGCTCATCCTGAAGTTACAAAGTGCTCCTAAGTACATCTCTAATTTTCTGTTAAAATTATGAGATAATGTTGTTGTGGCAAAATGTAATAAAAGTAAATATAATCACTCATAATATCAGAATCAGAATATTTGCTATAATCTACTCATCCTGTCGAATAAATAAAAATACATACAAATAAATTAAAATTATATTAAATACATTTTACATTTGACAGGACTAAAGTTTGGCAGTCAAAAATTCATCATATTCAATGTATAGCAAAAAGCATCTAGAAAAGAATACACTGTACATGGGAAAATACCAGAGAAGGTTAAACTACGGCTCTGACAGGTTTTGTATCTGAAAAGGAAATACTGACCTATTTTATACCTGCTGATGTACAACAAAAGCATAAGTGTCTAAGAGTATCTTTACCTTGGCCAGTCGTAGGTACTCATCTATGGCCTTCTCCTCTCCAGGGAAGCACTTTTTGAGCTCCTCGGGGAAGCGCGTGCGTCCGCTGTAGATGGGGTAACGCCGGCGGTTTTCGGGGGGTCCCAGGACCACCCAGTCGTACGGGTTATCCAATGGCTCCCACTGCAGCTGGCCATTGGTCATCTGGTCCAGCATGCATCGGAAAGGCTTGTGATCCAGCAAGTCTCCAATGTAGTGGATACCTGCGAGATTATTACAGTTATGAAGAGTTGGAGCAATGAATTTTGATCTAAAGGTACACTGCGCAACATTTCTAGTGGAGGGTCCCCATGTATTGTCTCCCTGGAAATAATGTTGCTTTGACTAGAATGTTCCACAGTATAGATTAAACCAATCTATCAGGAGGGGGAGAAGAAGGTTACAGCACTACGCTACATTACAGTTCAGATCTGTGGAGACTCGCCCCTATTCACCCCTGGAGTTGTGTTTTGTTTCATTCACACATGTTTAACACATAAATCCTGCATATTTAGGCGTCACTAAAATCATGTACATGATTTCAGC